GCACACCTAGACAAATGGATTATACAAAAATATTTTAAGTAGATACTTTATTATGCCTACATCTATACTAATATTGTAAATGTGAAAGTTTAGATGTTTGAATGTTTTCTACTCAATAACGCCCTCACTTACGAATGGATCTGTTTGAAATTAGGCACAAAGATAGATTATAGTCTGGAATAGCACATAGGTAACTTTTTATTTTAGAAAAATGTAATGTTAGCCGCTAGTATTACATAATATTACTAGCGGACCCGACAGACGTTGTCCTGTCTACACGTCTTTAATTTGAAAATTTCAAACTTTTTTTAATAATTTTTTTTATGAAAATTATTATTCAAATTGTGAATCTAAACCATTCCCAAATCCCCTTGAACACACACAAAAAATTTCATCAAAATCGGTCCAGTCGTTTGAGAGAAGTTCAGTGACATACACACTCACAGAAGAATTATATATATAAAGATTACATCTTTAAAATAATTTAGGCGATGTTCATTAGATTTATTAAGAGACGATTGAGCTCTAAACAGCTTAACAGCTCTAATCGTATTATACGTACAAATAAACAGGAGTTACAGCTGCTTATTTATTTAGATATATTATTTAACAATAAATATTAAATTATACTCGTAACACCCTTGTCACCTCCCATATTACAAATACGTTCAACTTTTATGAAGTGATCAATCACTACATATGCATATATTCTACATTGTATTATGTTTTAATTTATCTATTAATATTGTGTAATAATATGTTAGACATTTGCTACTAAGTAAACTAACTATAAACACAAAGTTTCTTGCTTACGCTCCAAACTTCTAATACCTCTCTGAACAATATAATAACACCCTCGTTCATAGATATATTGTACAAGCTATCGACTTACTCGTAACTTCGCTTCGCTCTTGTGCGTACTCAGATTTTGTTTACTGATTTCATGGGCTTTAATTTTTTTGCGCAAAACCCTAATTCTTTTTCTAAAATAAAATAGCCGAAGTTACTCCTTATAACATGAGTGATATGCCAGTGAAAGTATCGTCAAAATCGGTCCAGCCATTTCAGAGATTAGCTGGAACAAACAGACAGACCGACCAAATTATTTTATAATAATAATAATAACTTTATTCATAAATAAGGAAATTGAACATAGAACATAGTAATTTTTACAGTAAAGGTTTTTACAAATCAATTTCATACAGTTGGGTGAAGTACTGTACTCCTTGCTAGGTTATAAATATAATCTGTATTAAGGATTAACAGTCCCGTTCCCCTTTGGATATTTACCAATATATTTATGTACCGTACAATATGTTTTCTTATATTATCAACTAATTACAATACTAGGTTCTATCGTTAGCAGTAACATTAACTTGATAACTGAGTAAATGAATGATAATGAAAATAGATGAATATGTATGTGTGTGTGAGTGGTGTGTGTGTGTGTGCGCGTGTGTGCGTGTGTGTGTTTCGTTATAGGTTTTGTTTTGTAGAAAAGAAGGAACACTTTTTGCAGTTGTAGTAGGATAAGCCGAATATTGGACATTTTTGACTAATCTTATTGTATAAAGATGGCCCTAGATAATAGAAAAATCTCTTACAGAATGCTGACCGTGCTCGTGGAAGTGAACAGATTTTGTCTTTTCGACGTTTGTTAATTTTTCTGTAGGGAGTCTTGCGGTGCTGCAGAAGAATCGTTTGTGGAATAAAATGCTGGCGTACGTTAAGAACGTTGCATTCATTATACAGCTGTATGGTTGGGAAAAAAATTGGGCGGAAGGTACTTACCTTCAATATCGCTTTATGTGCGACCTCTAGCGGTTTTAAAGTTGTTTTAGCTACTCCACTCCAATTTTTTTTATTAGTACCGTATAAATGGCATGTTCTTTCATACATTTATAGTAAAAAGCGGTTATTTTGACATTACAAACAGACACTTCAATTTTATTTATTTGTATATGTCGGTACATATATTATTTGTATATTTATATAGGTAAATAGATTTAGTACCGATACTAGGGGTGACTTTACTAAGATTGTTAACAGTTCCGAAAGTAAATTATTTATGTCTAACACAACTTAAGAGGCTACAACGATCCATTATAAATTTATACTTTGACAAGTTTTAATTGGATATATAAATTTTTCACCGTTAATAAGGAAAATAGGCCTTATAACTAAAGCCTAATAATGTCATTTAGTTATTTTGAAATAGCCAAGGCTGCGATCGTCACTATTTGAGTGTCTTTGAGCCTTTAGATGTGACGGTAAGTCAAATCTATTATGAGATATTTAATCCAAATATATAATGATTAATTATTAAAATAATCAAGGGAAAGATTTTTTCGTCACGGAAATATAAAATTTATTATATAGTTTTATTTTTCACGACCAAATAAAAATAACTCAAATGTAGCGTCTAAACATAAGTACAATTTATTCATCCTATACGAGAACGTATTTTAAAACGTTTCGATTTTTTTTTAACATTTTTCTACGGATGCTAGCATTAGCTACCAACTGCCATTTCAATTTAGAGACGCACAAATAAAAACGTCAAACGTGTCTTAGGATGGATAGTGCTCCATCCTAAGACACGTTAAAGAAAGAAAACTTTTAGCAACGTGTTGCCTTAAGGTCTCACGTTTTCGAGATATTTTAAAGTAAAGATCTTATATGAGAACTTTAGGAACTGTTATCTGGAACGCCTTTACGCACAGTGCCGAATTCAACCTTACCGCCACCCCTGGGCATAGTAAAAAATGCCGCTCAATTATCGAAATTTTGCATAAATCGGGTAGTTTCGATAGTTTTATTTTAATTATTGTTATTATTTTTTTGAAAAATGCATAAAAGTAATTTATAAATGATTTCAAATTTTCGAAATTAGTGTACTAAGTAGTTATTTTTATTATACTTTTTTCGAAAAATAAAAAAGGATTATCGTAACGCAAAGTACAAAATTTACTCGTCTAAATTATTTCGTCGTTCGAATTAATTTATTTCGTCTAATTTAATATATATATTATATATATATATATATATATATATATATATATATATCACGTTTAAAACCCCTACCCTATGCGGATGTCGATAAATAAACAATATTTTTCACACTGTCAAATAGCCTGTTAGTTAATTTTTAGTGATTGTCATCGTTTTCACATAGCGGGCGACCTTAACCTTCTCATAAATGTGACACTTTAAGGTTGATATATTTTGTTTCTTTAAGTACCTATATTCTATTCATATATTCCAAATTTATCGTGCGCTACAAGCTTAGAAAAAAAATCAAAAATGGTGGGAGGATAGAAATGACACAAAGGTTCTTTACCTTTTGAAAGTTTTCAATATTAAAAACAAAAGTGTAGGATAGGTTTTAATAATAATAATATTAAAATTGATAAATATTTTATTTCAAATACAAAAAAAACGTAAGTAAATTTAAATTACAGTAGGTATTATTCACCTCAATCATCAGCACAAGCAATACATAGGACAAGCTTACAAACAATCTCAGACCGCATGTACTTTTATAAGTGATTTTTGCAGTCGTCATAACAAGGTACCTTTTTTAAAAATATAATTATTATTTCTGTTCAATAACTGATTTTATAGAATAAACAATGAAAATTAGTATAAAATTGTTCAAGGCTCAGAAAAAGTAAAAAGTGTTATGTAAGTAAGTAAAAAGTACAAGAGTAAAAGGGAGAGAATAATTTAAAAGTTACATAAAAGAAATTATTATTATGATTTCGTAAATTGTCATCCTAAATAATTATTTATATTATGTTTAATTTTCTTTTTTTTCATGTTTTTTTTTTCATAAAAGAACGTTATAATATACCAAATAATATCTTAAATCATTCATTCGCTAACAGTTACAAATCCAGTCTTTGGTAAAATGGCACGCCCATTCGAAATAAGTACATTTCGCGTGTTAGTACCATAAAATCGAAATTAAAATTAATCTGACATAAAAAAAGAATAAATACTCCAGAAAAGATGAAATAAAAAATGACATTTATCAAAAAAATCACCAACATTTTAAAAACATTGAAACTGCTGTGTGCCTACATTTAAGCTCACAAAAAAAAATTAAAAACGATACATTTATCGAACCATAGACAATAAAATATGTGTAAAGCGAAAATGCTTTTTTAACCGACGAAAAAAAAGGAGGTTCTCAATTACACATATATTTTTCATTTACTGTAATAAGACGTAGATATTGTCTATATTTCTATAACCAGATAGTAGTTTTGAAGACATCTATTTTGTTTGACTTTTCTGCCTAAATGACTCCTTAATATTACGTAAAATGCTCTACACTTAATGACGACTAAATACAGTTCCTAGAATTTAACATATGGATCTTAGGAACTTCTTTCCTGGATATCTATCACTGTAGTGAATTATTCCACGTTATCACAGCCACTATACAACATGGCGTCCTCTTTTGGACAGATTATTTTTGAACCTATCCATAAATAGAACTTTCAAACTAAAGCTAACTTTAAATTCAAGCCTCTGTCTTTTCTGTTCAAACAATTTGAACCTTACTGTTAGCTATTAAAGTTCAATTTAGGATATCAATTATTATGGATAGGTTCGTAAATCTGATTAACGTGGTATATTTAAGAGCTAATCTATCAACCACAATACTGAATCACTCGATCCTTATTTTAAGCTACCTACGGTACGTTTTACATTGACTGATGTATATTTGAAGACAGTTAATATTATGTGAAAAGTGCATAAATTGCTCTAATGTGAAAATACTTATAAAAAAGTTTTTTTTTGTAAATTGCAAAAAAATATTTTTATATTATTTTTTAATTTACAAATTTACATTTGTGTGTAAAATATATAGGTATGTGATATTATCATTTTGTGCTAGAGAAAATAATGTAAATCGTTATAAAAATCCATTTTCACGCACCGTAGATAAAATATTACTAAATATAAATACTAAATAATATAAATTCAGTCTATTTAGTGGAATTGCCACTGCCCACTTTGTTCTTGATCCATTTGTTGGTGCGTGTGAGGATGTCAGGTTGTAATGACGGGTCTTGCCAGGCTTCTAAATTAACCTTCCTAATTTCATCACATAATACAATGGGATTGCTAGAATAAAAAAAATGTATATTAATTAGGTATATTAATATTTTTTTACGAATACAAAAGGATACTTAAATATTTAATCTGTTTCTTACTTTTAAAATATAATATTTTAATTAGGGTTTCTCAACTGTAGAAACCAGTTATATACATGTAAAATTAATCGTTTTACGTTTTATTTTAAATGCAGTCTCATATCAGATGATATGATAACTTATAACTTATTAGCACCGGAACAGCAAATGAAAACAAAAACAAACCCATCCCACGGTAACCGTATATTTTTCCAGGATAAAAAGTAGTACTTTTTATTATTCCAGACTATAATCTATTTATGTGCCAAATTTCATCTAGATCCGTTCAGCCGTTCTGGCGTGAAAGAGGAACAAACATCCATACTTACAAACTTTTACATTTATGATATTATATAAGTTATTTATTTATTCAATATAAATAAAATAAAAACAGCGGTAGCTCAGTGGTAACGCACTCGCTTAGGGAAACGTGTTCAAATCCCGGGTCTCACACGTCTGATATTTTCATGTAAATCATCAATCATCAATAGATTTCCAACATGATTTTTTGTCTTACGGTGGAGGAAAACATCGTGCGAAAAACTGCATGTCTGAGAGAACCTACTAAGCTTTCCAAAGACATGTGAAATCCGCCAACCAGCACTTGGCCACCACGCCACGCTGGTGGACTATGGCCTGATCCCCCTTGTATTGAAGGGAGGCCCGTGCTTTCCAGTGGGACGTTCAAAAGGGCTGGATACAAAGAAAATTATAGTTACCTATCAGAAGGCGGTTGGAAGACGTCCTTTTGAACGCTGCTTATATCAGTGTTGTCACATAGAAGCCTGGACAAGGAACTGCGTCGTATTTCAGCCAACTGCTTCTTACTGAAACTGCCTGCTTCATCTGCATGCGTGTAGAAATACCGGTCTCCCGTACGTGTACGCCATAGTTGTTCTCCTATTAAATAGATAATTTTGAATTAAATGTAATTAACCACTGAATTAAATTTATTAATTTAAATAAAAATTTTGAAAATAGAATTTCTCTCGGATCTCAGTCACAATTTTAGACTTTTAGAAAAAAATAAAAAAGATTTTTGGAAGAATAACTATGGAAACTATTTTTTGCATTAACTCATACATATTAATACATAATAAGTAATTATTAATATTGTCACTTTTTTAAATGGCGCTCTTTACTGTCGAAAATCTTGAAAATTTTAAGTGTCTTCTATTCTTATACACTAATTACATAGTGCACCGAAAGTTTCGTAAAAAATAGAGATGGCCGGACGTTGACAATCTCCTAAACTTTCTTTTCCCTTTCTGATTAAAATGTTGATGCTAACGTAAAGTTTTATATTCCACTTACATATAATTAAAGTAAAATTTTCATTTTGATTCTTTTGATTGTAACAAAAAATTAAACTTACTTATCAAACAAGTAGCGGTAGGGCCGATCAAAGAACCTTCAAGGGGTATTTCAGCCATTAATCCAACGACTAGATCAATATCACTAGGGTTTCCATACAACTGGGCGAGTTTGTCGACAGTCTGGAATTAAATATTTTCATCAGGCATATGTTTTTTACCTTACTTTACTTAATAGTATATATACCAAAAGTATTTATTGGTTTGACTCTTTTTCCTATCCGAAACAGATAGAGTAATTTTTTACTTAGAATTAAAGAGCTTATCACTAATAGATTGTGCAATTAATTTGTTAGTTTTAACAAAAAATATTTCAAATGTTAGCAACATTTGAAATATTTTTGTAATCATATATGTAAAAATCAAAATAAATGGGTAGACGAGTTATGTATGTTAATTTCTATCCCGCTTTACAAGTTATCCCTGTGGAATTGTTATCAATCGCATCGATTGGTTCAGTTATGCGTTTGAGTAGATCTAAAAATTAAAACATCGCTGATCCAAGAAATAAAATTACAAATCAGAATATTCAAATTAGATGACCATTAGGAAGTCATTAATGCACTACTATAAAGCGAAGACCTTTCAATTAGTCCTTCAAAGCATAAAATCTTGTACATTTCATACTACAAAATCCAATAAAAATTACAAATTTATATGGCCTTAAAGCTATTTTATAGCAAAACACTTCCTTAATATTGTGAAGAAGAAAACATTACTAATAAAATATCCAGCGAGTATGAAGATAATTTAGCTTTACGTTAGAAGTGAAGATGGTAACCAGAGAAGATAGTACGTAGCGGTCTATTTATTATCTTTGCCTCAATATCAAGGGACATCATCATGTAAAATATATGGATAGATATATGTACATTGTACATACGAGTATGTATCCATATATACATGTATTATTCATGTGTATTTGTGTATATATGTTATGTATGTATATGTGACTGCCTCGGCGGTTTAGTGGCTAACATATACCTACGGCGGCTCATCCGAAGGTCCTGGGTTTGAGTTCCGGATCAAGCAAAGTTTAGTTATTGAGCTTTTTTTTGTTAAGAAAGTCTCAGAGAATAGTCAGGCGTTGGGAAGTTGGCGGTGTTTCATCCTAGTACCTTGGAGAGAACGTAAAGCCATCAATTCAACGTCTGATCTCTCACATCTCCCATCGAAATTCGAGAGTAAAAATAATATCTTCTACGCATTTGGTTAGTCAAAATCACATAGGCCGCCGTAGCCGAAATCTGTCAAGGATTCATGATAATATATGTATGTATACAAAACTAACCTGTGCATGCATCACGTCATTTAGCTGTCCGAAGTTAGTTACAAATGAAAGTCCACATATTGTTCTAAAGTGAGCGTACCCCGGCAGCCCGTGGTCGCGACCACGTTGTATGTCTATCGCCATCACATCTAGACCGCCTAGCCAATGGTGACGGAGCTGGAAACAAAATAACATTGCTATTGTAAAATATATTTAGCTTTTTTTAACGTCCCACTGCTGGGCACGGGCTTCCCTTTAATACGAGGGGATAAGGCTATAGTCCGCCACGCTGGCCAAGTGCGGGTTGGCGGACATCACATGCCTTTCGAAAACTTACTAGGTTCTCTCAGACTTGCAGGTTTCCTCACGATGTTTTTCTTCGCCATGAGACAAGCGGTAATCAACATGATTTGCACATGAAAATATCAGAAGTGCGAGACCTGTGTTTTAACCCGCTTCACTTGGTTTTTCAAGCGAGCGCGTTACCACTGGGCTACCAATGCCTTATATAATAGAAATTATATAATGGAAAGGGATATTATTATATAATGGAAACATTTATTTGAGTATTATTGAATAAATATGCTGAACACTCAAGACTAAAGAACTATATAAACAGAGCCCGCCAAAACAAATGTGAAAGTCAAAAATAATAGCGTGAGTATTATAAATAAAACTATCTTTTCGGATTATTTCGTAGTTTTATTTTGATTTTTGGTTCCCTCCCAACCAATTCACTTGGGAACGGGTATATAACCAAAAATCAAAATAAATCCGGGAAATAATCCGAAAAGATAGTTTTATTTAATATGTCAAATATTAGCGTATATCTAAGAAAGTATCAGCGTGAGTATTAGTCAAATTAATATACAAATTACAATTTTTGAGGATAAAATATGAACAATAAAAATAATAATATATTCTTTTCTATTTTAAGCATTAGTTCTCTTCCCATTGCGAGAGAGATAGCATAATATTAGATTTTTTTCTTTATAATAATAAAATCCAACTGAACTATTCTTGTGTACTGAGTGATAAGTAATTTATTTACCTCAATACACAAATTGTCATTTGTATACTTATTTTAAAACATTATTGTTTGGCTTCATGTTTAGTTCTACGACACTGTCTATATTATTCCTTAATCCGAGGCTAAATATTTTGTTTTCTAATAGGATATAAAGTAAGCTCAGGTGTGTTATGCGTAGAATTATTGCTAACTAGCGACTTAGCGCTTAGCTTCGGATTCATCCCTAGACAAAAGCAAATCTATCCCACGAGAACCGTACATTTAATATAAAAAACAACCTATGTGCTATTCCAGACTATAATCTGTCTCTGTGTCAAATTTCATCTAAATTCGTTTAACCGTTCTGGTGTAAAGAGTAACAAGCATCCATCCATCCATACTCACAAACTTTCAGATTTATAATATTAGTATGAATAAAGATTTTTTCAATTTACCAGCATGTAACATATCAACTATACTCGGAATTATTTCAAAATATGTAGTTCAATGTCATTATAAGTTATAAACGCAAATTGCATATAGCAATTAAAAATGAAAAATCTGCGTAAAATAGTTTTACAATAGAACATTATAAAAATACGATTACATATCTCCATTTTTATTTCATGAATATTATCAGTTAAGCTACTTTTATGCTCGACGGGTGTATGTATTATTATATAATTTTAACATATTATGCTAATTTCATAATTATGTCTTTTTAGGGTTCCGTAACTCAAAAGGTAAAAAAGGAACCCTTATAAGATCAGTCTCTAATCCGTCTGTCCGTGTGTCTGTCTGTCCGTGTGTCTGTCTGTCCGTGTGTCACCACCGATTTTCTCAGAAACAGGTGGACCTAGCAAGTTGAAATTTATACCAGATACTGAGGTCTATAGTCATTATTAGGTGTATAAAAATCAAGGTCCTGAGTTAACACAATAAAAAGATATGGGAAAATTTAGATTTTCGCGAAAACTTGTAAGTAGGTACCAAAATTTACCTTAATTTTTAACTTTTTTATTTTTAGGAATTTTCCCTTTACGTGTGCTGTAAGACCTCGCTTTTAACCAAAATTTACAATTCTAGGTCAACTGGAAGTACCCTATAGGTTTTGGCTTTGATATGCAAAGTAAAAAAGTAAGAACTAAGTACTTGCGAAAATAAGAAAATATATGCACTATAACTGATTTGAAATAAAAAAGTCATTATGAGTTTCATGCTTAAATTTCAATGGAACTAAGTGAGATTTCCTTATATGTATAATTTACTTATACAATTATCTACATCTATTAATTAAATCATATTTATTAAACCGACAAACTTCTGTCTGTCGGTTTTTATGATCTTGTAACTCGATACCCTGTACAATAAAGAGTAGTTGACTTTATGTTGCTTTACTCTATCACTTTAAGAGAATGTAGCTATATGCCTATTGCTAAGTAACATGTATTGTAGTTTTAAATAAAACTATCTTTTCGGATTTTTTTGCGAATTTATTTTGATTTTTGGTTCCCGACGTTTCGAATGCTTTACAGCAATCATGGTCACGGGAAAGACTGGTAAGTAGTTGTTGTTAGGTACATGTTAACATATTATTTTGCAAAAGGAATAGAAACGATATAGCTAAGAAATATACGATGTCACTGACCAGTAGATACCTAAATGGCATAACAAAATTTATTCGCAAATTACATGAATAACTATAAACAAAAGAAAACAACCTTACAATTGTAATTTGAAACCACTTCTGTAGAGCAACTTTTATTTTTATAATAAATTCAAACTTAGATATTTTTGTATGGATATAAAATATAAATACTTTAATTAAATAGAAATCGCCAAATTGTTTTGGCAATTACAGATTTTAGTACTTGTAAAGTCTGAAAAAGGAAAATCGATCCAATAATAGCCTTTATAAAATACAAAATAACGGATACAACCAAAAAAGCAAATACTAACAATGACTCGAGGTAGAAAGTAATTTTCAACCGACTTCACAAAGGAGGAGGTTCTCAATTCGACTGTATTTTTTTTTATAAACAATTGTGAGGTGTCAATTATCATTGAAACTACATTATTATTCAACGTGACCACCAAATAACAAACAGTAGGTAGGTACCTATATACAGAACTGCGCAATATCAAGACAATCAATTAAATAATTATAAGTATTATATTCGCAAACAACATTGAATAAACGTTTTCCTTGCTTAATCTAAGTTAAAAATAGAATGTCACAAAGTTTGATATTAAAAACATATTGCCGTTAAAAATTATATTTCTACTTTTCAGAAAACTTCGCGTAGCAATATTCGATTGCGACTTAATTTAAATATTTTTATTAACTCTAATTAAAGACCTTCGGAGCAAACATCGGTAACAGTTTCGAATCTTGACTCAAGTTTTGAGTTTTGACGCCAAAAAACCCAAAACTTAACTCTTTAATGGTACAGACTTTAAAGCTTAATGCATAGAAAGACCTACAAAATCTTATATACAAACTTGATTAAAAAAACATAAAATGTGCCCTAAAACAAGTACTTACATCGTCATCATAATTGAAATCCAATCCTTGACTCTTCTGATTGATCATCCCTCGGAGTATATTTTCTAGGCCTTTCCTTTCAGATAATAATTGCGGTTTAAAGTAGTTTTGTCCCAAGCGATGTGACGTCACGTTGTTGTTACTATCAACAATTTCAATGTCTTGGTCCAATAAACTATTGACGAAGTGAAAAGCGGCAGTGGCAAAAGAGTTAGAGATGGTTGGATCTATGTCTTGATTGTAACCAGTATCGAAGCTCTCGTACATCTCGTCGACCACTTTGCCTAAAACAACGTTAAATTATTGAAAAAAAAATATTTTTTACCTATCCATAGGTACTTATAAAAAAAGAATCTGCGTGTTATTTTAAGTCTTGAGGAAAAACAACGAAAACAAAAAGTGTGCCCGTATTTTTGTTTATTCTTACAAAAATAAGGGCACACTTTTTGTTTATCTCGCTTATATTCGGAATTTTAATTATTATTACAAATAGCATTCACTATATTATGAGAAAAGTTCTACTTTTTTAATATTATTCGCCATAAATTACCTAGTACATACTCATTTCATTTTATTTTAATAAAAATATAATTTAATTATCATACTACATATAATTGTTAAAGTTGCCTGCGCAATAATATTTGTACAAAATCTATAGACATAAGTAACGCTTATATTACTTTGCCTACTTTAGAATACATCACGTGCTATTTGAACTAAACACGAGACGGCCGAGTGAAGATCAAAGTGTAACAGCTTATGACACCATGACTAGTCCATTAGTCTTACGAATGCACATACATATATGGATTATCCATAATATATTTTCCCCATATTATACTTTATTATGAATTCAATTCGTATTATTATCCTCAAAGGGTGACTAAGAAAAATAAAGTTAACGTATGAAATGAAATTAATTGAAAATGGAAGTCATTGAGTTTTCTTTACGATTAACAGGAGTGTATGTGCGTATTGCAAGTGTACCTTAGGAGTTAGGCATATACTGTTGTGGACTTTTTTGTAGATCTTTTCAAGACTTACCATTTTCTATTACATTATTTTGATATATCTCTTAAGGTTTAGCCAGCGTTAGCCAAATAAATTTCTAAGGTCGACTTGATAGAACCTTGTTAGTTGATAATATATTTTGTTTTGAACTTGTTATTTTTTTTCGAAATATTAATAAATTTATTATTATCATTAAAGTTACTATGCAAGTATAATTTTTCAAGTATAAAATTGAAACTACTGTAAACATTTTTCCCCCTTGGCCCTATCATTTTTAGTAAATTCTTGTTATAAATTGTTATAATCAAGATCGCACATTTTTTTTTTAATTTTTTATTTGAGCTTTTAACAATGCAGTCGAACAGTTTTAATGAAGATTCATTGACTGTCCCTGCATTCCGAGATTTTACAACTTTTATGCCTTACGGCGCGGCGCTCCACTAAAGAATGGTTATTGAAAATGGCACGTCTGAAGCATGCTTTATACATCCTAAGATAGATGTCAACACGACGACAATTAACGACAAGAACAATTAATTGTAAATTGCCGCGTATGTAAGAGAGGAACAAAAACATTTTCCAGAAAGGAATTGAAATAACTAAAAAAAACGAAATTTCAAATACTAGGACGTTGTTTATTTATGCATTCGGCAGTGTGTCGAGACATCAGTTGAATTTCGTAGCTAAGAGAAGATGGAGAAGAATTACGAAAAAGTTAAAAGGTGAAGAAAAGTGGAGTAAAGTTATAATGAAAGTGCAACGAGTGGTTAAAAATAGTGTTCAGTGACTAAAAGCCAGAACTGTGTACGTACTTCATGTGATGCGAGCGAATGTAATAAAACATCAGTAATGCAAAAGACGTGCTTTAATTTCCAGTCCCCAAACTCACAGAACGTAGCATTAATATTAACTAGTTTCAAATTACCGATTATTTTTTTAAAGTAGCACACAAAAAGAAACTACCGTAAATTAAGCTACTTCTCGTTTTCGAAGTCGGTCAAAAACATAATTTGTTGAATCGCATGAAGACATTAATGTATTTATGAACAAAACTTACCAGTTAAAGCAGGGAGCCATTGTCTAAACGTAATATGCTGTATTTCAGCTACTACAATCCTTCTAGCCTCATGGTATAGTTTATCCGAGTTCCATTCAGGATTGAGAGACGCTAAGGTTTTAGCTACGCGGTTATGTTCTCTCATCAGTAGTGCATGGAGACTAGTTAACCAAGGATGCATGTTGGCTCGAATATCACCTGTTTTAATATAAAAACAAACATTAGAATAAGACACTCCTACAACCCTAATATAAATGCGAAAGTTTGTGTGTATTTATTACTTCTACACGCTGTACATACTTAACTACAAAAATGTGAAAGTGTTATTTAAATGAGCTTGCTTTTATACTGATTTGCTTTATGTTAGGTACTATTTATTTAAAACTTAGGTATCCTTTAACAGATGGTATAGTTGGGGTTCAAATAGGCTTGTTTGGAAAGTATGAAACGCATTTTTACTAATAATTATTATTGTTTAGGAATCGATACTATAAGGAAAAAATATTGTATTTTCTTACCAGTACTAAAGCAAGCAGCGGAGTCGTTATCAACAAGACACTTCTCAGTAGGGTTGGCGGTCAATGGTAAAAGCTCTTCATCATCCACTGTGAAGCTTTTGAGCAAACCACCGGTCTTCTGTCGTAAGGCCGCTGCATCACGACTGTTTGAACCGTAGATGTGGGAACCGTCTAAGAAGTGGGTTGCTTGGTTCATCTATAAATCATTTATATAAAAATGAGGTATGAATAACAATTGGGAATTACTATTGAATTAGATTGAGCTAAATTCTGTAAAGTAGCTAACCGACTTGTGCCGCTATTGGGTCTCTATTCTCTATTTATAAAAAACTCGCGGACTCTAAAGACGTTGTCCTACCCAAATCCTTCGCTTTAATAAAAAATAAAAAAATCTAGAACCCGACTGAACCTCTTAACACGTACAAAAAAATCAGCAAAATCGGTCCAGCTGTCTAGGAGGAGTTCAGTGACATACGCACGTACGAAGAATTATATATATGTATATTATGATTACATCAATTTGTTATTTCACTGCTAGGTACATAAAAGGTGGATAAAACAACAAGTCGTATTACATTTACAATATTACCTATAAAAAAATATTGACATGATTAAGGCATTATAATAAAAAGCTACCAGGCGTAACATGTTATTTATTATATACATATAAAATATAAATTATTGTTAAAAGATTTTTTGTAAATAAATCTCAGTAATATAAATAATATGATAGTGGAATATTTTAGTGACGTAATAAAGCCTGATAACAATCAAAATAATACCCCTAGATATGATAACTGTTAATAAACAAAAGATAAGCAACGAGATTAGTTTCATAGAACACACGTCGAGATAGCTTTTGACTATATTTTATACTATTAAGACGAAATAAAAATGTGATAAATACTTAGTATGTTTTAATAATAATAGATAAAATAACAATGTACTTTAACTATAATATTCGATATCTAGCCCAAGCCCAAGACAAGCTAATAATAATAATCACATTGAAATTATACAGTACAGTACAACTAGTACTACATTGCCCATAGCTCCGCTTGCATAGTCAATATATCCTCATCACTAAAAAGTAGCCTGTACATTATTTACATAATTGTCTATGTATTCGTCGGATATACAGCATCAAGAAGGCACGCAAACTTTTGCATCACACTAAAATAATTGGACCCAGTTATGCAAAAAACAGCCATGTGTGTTGTTTTCTGGTTATTTTAAAATTGAACAATATTTATATAAGTATTGTTTATTTTTTATAATAAAATGCTTATAACTCTGTTGGTACTTTTACGCACATGGCTGGTTTTTGCATAACTGGGTCCAATTATGAACGCGTTTCGGTTTGTATCAACAATCGCACCTTATACTAAGTTCGAATGCAAGGTCGAAAAACATATTATGATACGATCAAAAATATACGTAATAAATATAGCAAAATAGACAAAGAAACTGACTATTTCAATCGATATTTGGTTAAAAAACACGTTTTTTTTCATTCCATATTAAACTACTACATTTTGAGTATTTGCTACATTACTTTCAATCTTAATAATAAATGGATTTAGCTTTATTTCTAACAACATATTTCGATGTCATAGCTTTCCATCTGTTGTTTTAAAAAAACTTGTTTACGTGGTTTGTTAGTAATACTTAGGTATATTATGATATTAAATTACGCTTATTAAAAGTAATATAATTATGAAAACAAGTACCTAAATGATTTTAAGTGGTTCGTTATTTGTTAATAATAAACCGAAGTATGAGATGGTTTAGACCTTAGTATAGGTATACCAGGGATACTATAAATACATAGGTATATACTGTCTCTACTCTTTAGTAACCTTTTGGAATATATCTACATGTTACCCAGTACCTATCTAGTATATAGTAATAATATTCTACAGCATAAATAACATATTATCTTTATGCATAATCGCAGATTAATTTGCTAATTTGTTCCTATGTAAAAGAAGGACAAACTAAGAATCAAAACACTTTCGGATTTATAACATTAATAAATCATATTAAATATGTTATTTTATTTTCATTACTTTCGAATTAATAAATTTATCCATTAATCTGAGTCGAATTTGTACATTAAATATTTTTTGGAAAGTCTTATTGTAATAGTCATTAATCTATAGAATTGCAATTTTTGTTTGTCAGAATTCGATGAAATTTTGTACATTGATAGCTGGTTATCCGGGTCAAAATATTGGATACTTTTTAATTCGGGAAAATATCTCATCTTTGAGAAATGTATACTAACCGTTAAAACCAATAATCACATTATTATGATTTCATAAAAAGAACTTTAAAAGATATTTATTATTGTTCTGATTAATCCATTACCCACTGTCCGCAGTTGTTTAACAATGTAACCTTGTATCAGTTTACACTTGTTTGTATATCCAATTCAATACTCAGTACTGAAATGGAAGTTATGTAAGACCACAGATCATATAATACTATTCTGTAACGCGTATAAAGTATAAGCTTAGGTTTTTAATATTCCTTTTTTTGAATATATTTGGTTAAAATGAACTATTCTAAATTATAATTCCAATGCCTTATTTTGTCTAGATCAAGTACAATTCACCTATTTCGCTTTGGTTTTAAAAAAAATCATCGGAGCCAGTTTGCACTTGTATAATGTAAATATAGTATTTACTCTTTCAAATAAAAATTACCAATATTTTTATTTAAATTACCGTTTACTTCCAATAATACCACTTTCGTTTTATATTCCAAAGTGCAAGTAGAAAGCAGGTAAGATATTTAGTACCCATTGATATATGTGAAAGTACGTCATCTTAAATAACTTTGAGTAGATTTCTTTTTACGCTTGAAATCATCATATAAAGGTTAAACGTGTCCCTTTGTTTATTGAAGTTAATAATTTTCAATTACTCGGCTACCAATAAATATTGAATCAAAGTACAAATCAATAGGTCGAATCTATTACACGTAACAAGTACCTTTGTCCTCTACTTCTAGTTAACTATTTAGAGTAACTATTAATAATGTAGTTACACATGTTATATATAAATAATACAATATGTAAATGATAATAAATTAAACTAGTGATTTACCCTCGCTTTGTTTGGGTGCATTCCTAGATACGAACGTAGGTATAGCTTTGCTACGGTAATAGACCTTTTTAAGAGGATTAATTAAGTAATATATTGTTTTCATATAAGTAATTATGTATTTTTATTGGTTTACGCGGTATTTTTCGACACGCGACATCTTCAACAATCACCGCATATTTCAGCCAATTTACACAAAACGTTAATGAATTATAAACCTAAACGTTCCTCATGAATCTCTTCGTTTATTAGTGAAAACCGTATGAAAATCCGTTCGGTAGTTTGAGTTTACTGTGTTCAGACAAGCGAATTCCAAAAAAGAGGAGGTTCTGTCTTCATCTGTTTGTATTTTTTATGTATGTTCATCGATTTTTCGAAGACGACTTAACCGATTTTGCTACTTTAAATGATATTAAATTAAGGTAGCTTCCGAAGTGGTTCGATAAAATTTTCTTTAATATACCTAGAATTTACCGTTACGAAGAAAATCTGAAAAATCCATCAAATTTGTAGTATGTTCACAAATCTTATTACACTTTTTTAACTTATTCTAATTGTCATATACACTTGAAACTTTATAAGTGTTTATAATTTCTATGATTGTATAGTAATTTGGTATCTTGGAGCTGATCTAATGGTGGGATATGAAGATGGTTAGTGGAACTCTTTAACGGCTCCTAGTAAATAGTTTTAATTTGGGCTTATTTGGTTTGATTTGACAAACCCTTATTAAGTCGAAACTAAAAATGAAAAAATAACAACTTAAAAAAACCTACTTCCAGACACTAAAAAGTAAAAAATAATTGAACGGGGGTTTTCATTTACTATAGATATCTAAAAAGATATTTTCGAAGTCGGTGCCAGCAATCCAGAATGCCAAAAAGTCAAAAGTAATAGATTTTAACTACTTCAAACTGATTATACGATTCCATAGATCCATCAATGAAATTATGATTTTAATTATTAGGGTATCTATATCTTATATTACAAAAATTAAAACAGAAAACGTGGCAAGGTAGACGTATGTACATTATACGTATACGCCTTACGTTATGGTAGCATGTATATTACAAAGCATAAATACTATCTGTTCCAACTATTCTTGGACCAATTAACATTATATTTGTATTCACAATAATTATTCTGTAATATCTTATCAATAGAACTAATAATTGTTTTGTTATTCAAATAAGCAACGACTCTAGTCTGCACGTCAGTTCAGGCAAAATTTAAATAAGCTAATATAAGTATGGCTTAGAATATGTCTGTGTGTTTGTTTGCCTGGGAACGCATCATGAGAAAACTACTGGACAGATTTTGATGAAATTTGGTATGGTAATGGCTGGTTATCCAGGGCAAATATCTCATCTCAGTGAAATTTATACTAACCGTTAAATCGTAATTAGGGACGAACCCGAGCGGAGTGAGGGCGAGTCACTAGCTATTATTATAATTTTTAACATTAATCGATATGTGATTATCGATTTTTAATAGAAAACATTGATATCGTAGTTATATACAGGAAGAACTGGTTATTTATCGTAATCGATATAATACTTAACCATTTTGATATAAGAAATTTCTTAAAGTAGTTGAAACAAATGAGCCGTTGAAAGTGTATGAACAATAAATGCATAGATTAAATTGTATTTCAAGAAATTCTATAATTCTTGTTTTAGTATCATTGAAAAACAAAAAAGAAATGAGAAGCTAACCGATTTTAACGATAATCACTGTTGAAGGATTCGCATAGGAGAGACAGACTATCTACTATAATATAATATAATAACTATCTTTTCGGATTATTTCGCGGATTTATTTGACATTTTAAATAAAACTGTCTTTTCGGATTATTTTATTATTTAAAATGTCAAATATTTACATGTAATCTATCTAACTCATACATACTTTTGTGTGTGATTAAGCAATTTGGACGCGCAACTTCCTTTATGAGAAAAAAGTATTATAATGATTATTTTATTTAAAATGTCAAATAAATATTCGCGTAAATCTAAGAAAGTATTAAGAGACAGACTACTTTTTGTCGTCATAGCACGTGAGTCGAGCTACGAGCGAAAGTTACTTTATTTAAAAAAAAACACACCTATACTAAAAAAAAACTAAAATAAAAATATCCTTTTCAACAACTCACCTGTTCAGCTGCTCCGAAAGTACAGTCACCTCGATATGTAGTAACGGACCGTGTATATTCCATACATTTATCACTAAAGACGGGATCTTTATCGGGTATGGAGATCGCCATACAACTTGGATGAACATAACGCGGTGCCAAATTAGAGCCAAAGTTGTCACAGCAACGAATTGGTTGGTTTGTATGTACTAAAAAGGAAAAAAATAATTTGACTTATTGAGAATATTTGACATTAAAATATCGTTGTATAAAACTCGGGATGAGACTCTCCCGTGGCCATGTTTACTGTAATTCTAAAAGCATTCTAAACGTCAGGAAGTAAAAATCAAAATAAATCCGCAAAATATCCGAAAAGATAAAATTATTTAACATGAATTAAGTATTTTGTTACTGACTGTACTGTATATAAAGATTTAACTGTTATTTTAATTATGATGAAAGCGATAAGTATATTTAAGACAAAGAATCCGTAGATGAAAACGAAAATGATTTAATTTTTTGAAGTAACAATAATACTCACTTGTTCTACGAACTGGTGTATGCACTAAGTCGTGGAAAATGAATTGACTCCACACTGGTAAAACAATAGTCTTTTTATTTTCTGGCAGATCCAAATTATTACCAAGCACTACGCTCACTTTTCTTGCTGAAGGTAAATCCTTGTGACTCACTGCCCGGCGAGGCTAAAATGTAAATATCGTATTGATTTGCTAACTCATACATACTTTTGTGTGTGTTTAAGCAATCTGAACGCGCAACTTCCTTTATGAGAAAAAAGTATTATTTGTTATTTTGTATAGAATCCTATCCTATGAAGAAATATGAGTATTTTTATCGCATTTAAACTTAATAATTAATTAATGATTTTATAATTGTTTTTTTTGGACCATCCAGTAATAAAATTTTAATGCAATATGAAATATCAAAAATCGATGCACTTCTATAAAACAAAATACACCCACCTCTTCAATGCCATCAGCGTATCTAGGGTGCAATAGTCGTTTATAACCAGTGAGAGCCTGTCCCGAAGAAGATCGCACAGGGTTATTACAAGATCCATCAAATGTTCTATACTTAGATGTCATTTTGTTCGTACGACATGTAAATCTCTCCAGCTGTTCGCATTCCGGACCATATTCACTTTCTCGCAAGTTTAAAGTGCTTATGAAACTCGCGCACTCGTCTTTCGCCAAGCCGTATCTAAATGAAAACATGGACCTCGATAACCATACAAGTAGGTAAAAACATTAACTTTATAATCAAGCCAAATTATTAAAGCTAAATATTAAAAAAACAATGTTTGTTTTTTAATAACAAAAGCGGTATTAAGATCTTACCTAGTACACCTAGACCAAACTAGATTTTGCGATGCCTTAGTTATTATCATGGATGATTTTTCATATTTCATGGCATCATTGGACGGATAACCCTGTATTGCTAAGCCCTGGGCCGTAGATCCTAACTTTGGTTTTATTCCAGAAGCTTTCAAGTTGCCTTCTAAGCGCTCAAGCATGCCTACAGTCATTTTACTTATAGCAATTGATCTATTCGTGTGCTCAGTCGTAACTGGGGGTAGTTTCTTTAACATTTCTGCGCTTGGAAACGGGAAGTCATACATCGGTGGTGGATGAATGATATCTGTAAGGAATGTCTCTCGTAAGAACTATTGTTACAAAATGTAGGTATAAGTACATTAAATTGTTATTAATGGAGTACCTACCTGTTGTCAGTATAAGATTAAGCGGATAAGGGGCGACATGACTTCCAAACGACACCCCCGCCCATAAAACTACACCAAGTAAGACCATCTTTGCCATTTCCTCCAGTATACTGAAAAAATTATACTTACAGATGAAAACTGTTTAACAAATAGATAATAATTGACGTCCAACGAGAACATTGAGAAACTAACGTTGTAAAAAAATTAATAATCAACATTCGTTAGTATAGTATAAAGTGTGAAAAATAACTGATCAATATTTGTGACAACAAAGAATTTATATGACGATCCACATTACACAAGGCTATCTAGTGGGACCTCTGATATTGTGACCCCAAGATTGCATTTCGTCATGACTACATAGATTCTTGGACTTTAGAGGGACGAGCCCCCGGATGTGATTGGCGGGAGTCAAAATATCAACATATTTATTAGAATATAGATTTACACAGAAAATCAATTTAATAACTCACAATCGGGATAAACAAACGATGACTCATTTGTACTATTAATGGAATCATTATTTTATTTCTAACAACCATTTTGTTTTTAATCACGTAGTCTCCAAGGTAAGGGACGCATGTTCTTTTATTTATATTAATTTATCCATTGAATATTATTACCTATATATATATATATATATATATATATATATATATATATATTACTTAAAAATCTAAATACTAAGCGTTATTGCTTAAATTGAAGTGGTTTTATTAATAACATTTATAAATACGCATCTATATATATAAAAGAAAGTCGTGTTAGTTACTTCGCTTATAACTCAAGAACGGCTGAACCGATTTAGCTGAAAATTGGCAGGGAGGTAGTTTAGAGCCAGGAGAAGGACATAGGATACTTTTTATCCCGTTCGATCGCGTTCCAATTTTTATGATATTTTAATTTTTGGATTTCTCTTAGTCCGGAATAGGTAAGTATTAAAACATATAATTAAAATGTGAGAAAGAAAGATTTTTTCTTTTTATATCTATTTAAAACGTACCTAGCGACGAACCCGAGCGAAGCGAGGGTGAGCCGCTAGTGTTATCATAAAATGAAAGTTCATTTGTAAGCTTTTATAATTACATACTTTGAAAATTATATGTATTTTGTATCTTTTTAAAAGACGATAAATACTTCATATATAAACAACATACATCTTAATTTTATGCTTCAAGATATTTTTAGAAATCATAAGGGATCTTATTATAACTATGTAGGTATAAACCATAATAGTTATACTTGTATCATCAATCAGTGATACAGATATCTATACATATAGGTAATAAAATTGTAACTAAGCCGAATCTGTACATTAAATATTTTTTGGAAAATCTTATTGCAATAGACATTTTTATCGATACAGAGGCCGAATCTATAGTTTTTAGATTTTTGGATGTCTGTCTGTCCGTCTGTTACCGCATCACAGAAAAACCACTGGAGGGATTTTAATGAAATTTGGTATGGTGATAGCTGGTTATCCAGGTCAACATATAGGATACGTTTTACCACGGGAAATATCTCATTTCTGGGAAAAAATACAAAAACTGCAATGTAAGAGTATACTAATATGTAAAACCTAAGAATTTGGTTTTTGGTCATCTGAACGCGGGCAGAGCCGCGGGCAATGCTAGTATTCAATAAAACAATTTTGAGAATCTCTGACTTTTAACCATGTTACAACAACAAACATTTACCTTTCAGGGAGTCTAGGCGAGACCGACAAATTACAAAACCTTTGTCCGTTATCCGGCTATTCTACCTTTTATGGGCTAGAACTGTTATACCGTAACCGTTTTTTTGTTTTGTCTATAGTTGTAATCGGACTTACTGATATAAATGCGAAAGTGTGTATGTGTGTTTGTCTATGCATGTGCAATGTGGATGTTGTTACTCCTTCGCACTAAACTGGACGGATTTGAATGAAACATATAACACACAGAATATATTACGTTCAACACCTAAGGACGCATCCAAAGCGAGGCGAAGGTCAAGTCGCTAGTCCATTCATAAAAACTAGACTTGCAACAAATATTCGGCTACTATTCGGTATTCGGCTACTTTTACGCTATTCGGCCGAATACCGAATATCTAGATACTATTTTTATAATCTTTATTGCTTTTGAATTAAGCCTGTATTATTATTCTTTAATGTAATTTCTTTTTGATTAAGAAAATAATTATTAAAAAAAACAGGTGGGAAATTCAAAGTAATTGAAACGCAACGCCATCGGTCAGATCGAATATACCGTCAAAGTATTATCATAAAAGAGCGATTAGCGATTTTGTCGCTTACAAATTATTGAGTCATCATTTCTGTGTATATCGTACTGTGACGTCACGCACGCAATGGCGAGCGTTTAAAGAATGTATCCTTAACGGTATGATATTTAAAAAATATATTTTATATTAAATTTTAGTTTTTTGGACATAAATTGTTTATTTTTTTATAATTATATAACGATGTAAGCTATTATATAAAAACTAAAAAAAATCATGCATATTCCCTATTGATAATATATAATATATAAAAATATTAATTAGTTTATAATATTATATTTTTCTTATAAACATTAAAGTAGTCATAGGTACATAATAACCTTTATTACAAAAAAAAACTATCAAATAAATGTCTATGCACTCGTATTATCATAATTAAAATTTAGAAGTGGAATATTATTATGTAGAAAGACTATTTTTCTGCATTTTTAGGCAGTAGTTTAGTCCTAGACAATCCCAGATTTAGAGAAAAGACACTGAATAAATACTACTTCCTGGCGACAAACAAGAAACAAACACGTAGATACAAGTTTTTCCGCCACGTGCTGACTGAATACTTTTACCTAATATTCGGCTATTCGGCCAGAAAGCCCACCGAATGTATGTGTTTATGTATGTATGTTAGGCGTATGGCCGAATATACTATTCGTTGCAAGTCTGATAAAAACCTTTTGCTTGATGCGATTTAATTTAAAACTGTGATAATAATAAAAAAAATAGGCTAAAAAAAAAGCTGAACGTGAATCGATCTAATGGTTAGGGTTTAAGCAATTATTCTATAATATCGCACACCTAGATAAAGAGTAGTACAACTCTAAATAATCCAAATTCGAGTTATTACTATTATATAGGAATCTGCGTTAAAAACTACATGAACTCTGATTATTACTAATTTAACACGAAAAAATAAAACTATTTTTGAATTTGTTGGTGTTAATATATAGTTAGTTGGTGTTCCAAATAAATACATAATATTTGAAGTGATTGAGTGTTTGATATTGAGTTGGTTATTTCATATTCTTCGGGAAAGCATGTGTATTTTATCGAACAAATCTTTGTTTATATTCTTTTTTTAGCTGGCCAGAATATAAGTTATCGTTTCTACACATACAGAGTACATACTCGTACGAGTACATAATTAGGTAATCTAGAGTTATGTCATTTCTACTATAATACGTTTTTGCAATCTAGGCGTAGTAAAAAAATAGGCCTATAAGATAGGTACTAGAAGTTAAAACGTATTAAGATAACAAGCTAATAAAAAGTTTACGAGGACATGATTTTTATTAAGTTTTTTGTTCACTCACTAACGAGAACAACATGAGTGTTTTTCTTCTTGTAATCTTGATATTTTTAAACAAAGTACATAAGTGTACATATATAATATGTAATAGGTATGTAATATATATGTTTGTATTGTAGTAGTATGTATGTTTAGTAGGTATGTTTTTTTTTATTTCAGTTAGTACATTAATTTAGTCCTTTTTTAATGTTGGGAAATGCTTTTACGCATACCACCCTTAGACGTACAAGTGGTTATGTGGGACTCACCGGCTGGAAAAGCCAGTACTAACCACTAAAACCCAACAAAACCTTCTCCCATCTTAATGGGGCGTCGCACGATCGCTTACGCACTCAATTGCAATGCCCCGACAGCAGGTCTGCCGAAGCAGACCATGGGGTTGCTCCACAGTCCACTCTGCTACTTATCAGAGAAGAAGCAGGAGCAACCCGCATGGTACACTGCCCACCTAAGTGAGCCACCCCCCCACCGCCCACCGAAGTGGGCCACCTCCCTGTGCGTTTCTTGGCTTCGCGCCCGCCTAAGCTGTCGGACGTGCGGACCCTAATGAGCCCCCCACCCCGCGCCACCAAGAACAAGGTGAACGCACATTGGGGCGGACATGTTTTAACTCACAATCGTTTTTTTTATTTATATGAAATTGGGAAGTATTATATCAGATTGATATTGTATTAGTGGTATATAAAAGAAGTAGAAGTAATTTGACGAAAATTAAAATATTATCTATTACTAGCAGAACCCGCGGCTACGCCCGCGTTCAATCTACAAAAAAAACATTTGGCGTTGTTAGGTATACAGCGCTCACCTCGCTTCGCTCGGTTTCGTCACTATGTATTTATACAATATTGATCATACAAAAATACTAAAATCGTGATTTAAAATGAAGGGTGGGGGTGGGAGGGTGAAAAAGTGCTTTACGACCTATTCTCATGTCTACCAAATACACAAAAAAAACATAATTAAAATCGGTCGAGCCGTTTCGGAGGATTGCGACAACAAACACCGTGACCCGAGATATTTATATATTAGAAGATAACAACCAAAATATACAAAAAAACAAATAAAGCCTATGTAGGCGTATAATGATTAATGACCTAAAGATCGATGAATGTTTTAGTTAAGTTGTCTCCAAGAAAAAAGATATTGTATACAAACATTGCTAATATACAAAAGTATACATTTGATAATGTAATATTCCAGTAAAATCTATCGGACTCGGATGATAGACTCTAAAAATAGAGCCAAGTTTCAACTTACATGGAATGTTCGCCACAACCCTCGCATTCCGATTTCCTTCTAGAACATCTCTCTGGTAACCTATCCTTAGCAATACGATCAGTGTTCAACATCGACTTTCCTTGGATGATCCGTTTAAACAACATAATAGCAGCAGCAGGATTTGCTGTTTACGACAGTCCCTTTTGTGGCGAATGTTTGATTTGTTTAACACAATTGCAGGTAACACTTCTCCGAAGGAACGCTGTTCCATTAGATTGGCCAGAGAGCCAATTTCACCTTTACTGCTAAAACAGCACTGGAACGTATGCTGTTTTGCTGCGATCAAATGCGCAAGCAACGTACAGCGTACCCCCTCCGTACCCCGCAAAACAACTAACACCACAGACTAAGAAAATCCGTAGGCCTATATGACTTGTTAATGTACTAGAAAGATACACAATGCTTCGATTATTTTAAAAGCCAATAGAGTTAGAGTAATGAACGAAGTTATATTAACTAGTAAAAGAAAAGAAATTTTAATACTCTATTTAGAGTATATAAACTTACAATATAGTCGAATTATTTACTGATAACTCTATTCTGGGGCTTAATTCGTTGTGGGAGCCTTTTTAACTGTATCGTTACTTATAAACCGAAAAATCTACAAAATAGTGTTACTTCGTGTTATTTTTTTATAATATACCCAGTTTTTTATTCAGTTTATTTGTTTTAAAGGTAAATATTCGAAAAAAAATATTGGTATGTATTACAATATTTTTATAACAACAATATATATTTTATAAAAATGTATAAATTTAATTCTGGTACAGTAACAAATGCTCGCGAGCACGTGGAGAGCGCATGAACACAGCGTGGCCGGTGACCACCCTCCCGTGCCCCTCTGCGCCTGCGCTATCACGCGCATGATGCGTGCACAAGCCGGTTTAACGCCATTCTGCATTCAACAATCCCCGATATGCTTGCAATGTTACGTTATGCAAACGAACTTGCAAGCGATTACTTACTAATTAAAAACTTTTTAGTCAAAGCATTCAAAAGCCAAAATTAATACGTTTTACTCTGTACTTATTTATCTACATTATACATATACATACATATTTGATTATAATCATACACATACAATCATACACTACATATTTGAATATAATATAATCATCATAGTCCGATCAATTTAGACATCTGAGGTTACCAAAATTAGCACCCAGCTGAAAATTTGGTAGGAAATAGGAAGTAGGAATTTTTGTAACCTCACCCCTGATTTTTGGTCTAATTTGACCGGACTATCAATATTTCATGTCTATTTTGAATTGAAGATTACTTAAAAAAATTTAAAATTAATTGTTATATTTTTTGTGTTATAAGTAAACTTGCGACGAATAGTATATTCGGCCATACACTGAATACCGAATATTCGGTGGGCTTTCTGGCCGAATATTATGGATACCACCTTAGATTATTTATATGTAATAATCTAAGTAAGTATACCGCATAAGTATTCGGTCAGCTCGTGGCGGAAAAACTTGTATTTACGTGTTTGTTTCTTGTTTGACGCCAGGAATAAGTATTTATTCAGAATGTCTTTTCTCTGGATCTGAGATTTTTAGTAGTCAACTACTGCCTGAAAAAGCAGAAAAAGTACTCTTTTTGCATCATAATCTTCCACTTCTAAATTTTAAATATGATAATGCAAGTGCGTACATAGACATTTATTTAATAGTTTTTTCTGTTAATTTTTGTAATAAAGAAGGTGAATATGTACCTATGACTACTTGAATGATAATAAGAAAAATAAATTATTATAAAAAAAAAACAATATTTGCATTTTGCCGATAGAAAATATGCGTGATTTTTTATACAATAGCTCACATCGTTTTACAACTAATATTTGAAAAAAAAATCTGAAAATATCATACGGTTACGGATACTTTAAACGCTCGCCATTTCGCGCTCTTGGCGTCACAGTATGATATACACAGAAATGACGATTCAATAAGTAAGCGACAAAATCCCTTTTTTTTTTTAACGTTGGGAAACGCACGACGTGTGGGACTCACCGGCGTAATACAACCAGTACTACCCACTAAAACCCAACAAAACCTTCCCTCGTCTTAATGAGTCGTCGCAGGATCGCTTACGCATTCAACTACGACGCCCCGACGGCAGGTCTGCCAAAGCAGACCACCACAACCATGGGGTTGCTCCAAGGTCCACTCTGCTATCAGAGAAGTACCAGGAGCAACCCGCAAGGTACACCGCCCCCCGAAGAGGGCCACCTCCCACCGCCCACCGAAGTGGGCAACCTCCCTGTGCGTTTCTTAGCTTCGCTACTACTACTGAGCCCCCCCACCACGACAAGGTGAACGCACGTTGGGGGGGAAGCGACAAAATCCCTAATCGCTCTGTTATGATATACTCTGACGTTTTATTCGGTCTGACCAAAAAGCGCTGCGTTTCAACTTTCAACTACTTTGAATTTCTCAGCTGTTTTTGCACTTTTTAATAAGTAATTATTACTTAATCAAAAAGAAATTACGTAAAAAGTATTAATATAATTCAAAAGCAATAAAGATTATTTAAAAAAAACATTTCACCTTTCTTTAAGTCACACGCATATTCCTTATTATTATCTGATTACAACAAAACATAATATTAAGTATTCGGTATTCGGTCGAATAGGATAAAAGTAGTCGAATAGGCTGAATACCCAATAATAGCCAAATATTCTTTGCTAGTCTAGTTAAAAAATTAAAGTAAATGTTTTTATTGAAAATAGGAAGGACATAGTAAAAAAAGTATTAAAAAATGTTTAAATTGAAATATTTACCTACTAGTGTTACGGTGCTTACAGATATGAAGTTCAACCGGAAAAAAATGTCTAAGTTCTGAAAAGAACTACTTAGTGAAAAAAACTCATTAAGTACTAGTAGTAAAGAATATTTTAGCATTAAATTATTTAATTCATTGATAAGTGTGTTGAAACTGATCGAATATTCATAAACTAATAATTGTAGGCTGAAATGAGTGAAATATAGAGAGATAGGTCGAGGTGGAAAGTTAAGAGTTTGTGTGTTCTTTATTTTCTGAGAATGTACACAACACAATATATTTATATAAGACGCATGCTTTAAAAGTTTTGATTTTATCTAGGTATACTATTTTAATTATTAAGTTTGGTACTTTTAATTATACATTAATCTAGTAAACTTGCTATTCTTTCTGTCTATGTCCGATTTTTTTAGATATGCTAATAATTATTATACGGTATACCTATATGATTTACATGACACTACATATAAGTTTTATCTTATAATATTAAAATAATAATATTAAATGAGCAATACTTGTTCATAAAAATATATTCTGTATAGGAATCTCGATAACGGCTAAAAAAAATCTTGTAAGGTTTCCCTTTTTAAATCTATATACGTAGGTGTTTTTTTCTTAAAAAAAATATTAAACAATTTTTATATCTTGTCCGAAAAAAGCCGAGTGAAACTCGGTTGCGTCGCGCCCAGCTACTTTTATTATAAACTAGCATTGCCCGCGGCTCCGCCCGCGTTCAGATGACCAAAAACTAAATTCTTAGGTGTTACATATTAGTATACTCTTACATTGCAGTTTTTGTATTTTTCCTCAGAAATAAGATATTTTCCCGCGGTAAAAAGTATCCTAGGATCGCGCGCTACATCGCCCGGTTTATATAGCTTGAGCAGGCGGTCGAGCGATGCGGGGCAGAGGGGATGGACTCGCCGTAGGCATCTCAATGCTCGCCAAGCATTAAAAATGTTTCGCTACTAATTACTTCTAACAACGATATCTCAAAAACTATTCATCTGATTGATTTAGTGTAAAGAGCAATTTTAATCTGCATTAAATGACTAAGCTAACTAAAATATTCATTTGGATAAGGATTAATACCGAACTAAAGAAAATAACTTTGAAAATAACGTAATGTTTTTAATTAAAAATGTTAACATAAAAGTGGTTATTGTAAGTCAACCGTAAGAGATAGAGATATGCTATCGCGGACTTTTTTGTAGCATTTTTATAGATTTTGAATTCTCTAGTACATTACTTAACTGTATCTTTGCTAGTTTACGCGGCGTTCGCGTGGAAAGTTCCCATTTGGCGAGATTTTTTGCGACCTCTTCAACATTTGTCGCCGTATTTCAGCTAATTTACATAAAAGCATAATAAATTATATACCTAAACCTTCCTCAAGAATTACTCTTTCTATTGTTGAAAACCGTATAAAAATCCGTTCAGTAGTTTTCGAGTTTATCGCGTACAGACAGACAGGAGGACAGACAGGAGGACAGAAAGACGCGGCCGGGGGACTTATTTTTATAATAAGTATAGATTAGAAAAGTAAATTACTGTAGCGAATAATTAGGACAGACGATGTTGATAACGTTAAAAAGGGCCCGTTATATGTTCCTCCGAATTTTTAACGGTTAGTATAGAATAAATAGACTATAAATTATATAATAATATTGATATTAACCTATAGCCTTCCTCAGTAAATGGGCTATCTAATGCAAAAAGAATTATTCAAATTGGATTAGTATTTTCTGAGAATAACACATTCAAACAAACAACTCTTTCAAACTCTGCCTCTTTTTGATATTAGTACAGATATACAAGGAAGTCTGTCTGTACGTACTACGTAAATATGCGGTAATTTAGAGAACTACGAGTATGGATCTCAATTTTGATGTGATTTATGATCATTATCTTTCCAGAAAGGTTTTACGGCTTTAAAAGCAACTAACGGTAACTATTTGCTCACATAAAAAAGTAACTAATCCTTCCACGACCGCGGATACGCCGGCGTTACAGTTAACAATAGATTCCTTAGAAATTTACCTGAAGGTGTTTATAATATTTAAATTTTAACGATCTATCCCGAGAGTCCATACATCTCTAGTGTGGTCGGCGACTCGGCACGTAGTGAATTTAATTTTTTGACCTCTTTGTACTCAGTAGTATGTATGGAATACTCTTTATTTTATTATATTATTTAAATTTATATTATTAAAAATATTTGTGTGTGTTATGTTATTTATTTAAATTATAACGATGTAGTGTATAAAATAATTAAGAGTATAAACTATTATTTTTTTAGCTAGCAACATTTAAATAAATCGTAATAGTTTATAGTTGTCATTTGTCAAAAACTAAAAAGTAGTATCTTAAGCCAAAATATACGATTTGGAATATTTGTTATAGTTTGCAAAGAGTGTTTTTATTAATATTATTAATATTCTATTTTGTTAGCATATCATATCTTTATAAATTAAAAGATATGGCATCTCATTTGAGCACTAAAGATCGATTACTATCGATAATAGACGATATGGAACTTATTGCAAAGTACCGTATTAATTTGAACATTATACACATGAATGTCTGTAAATATTGTCTAATAATAATAATTATATTGTTTTAGAGAGATAATAGAAGTATCTATTGCACCAAAATCGCAAAAATTATCAGCCGCCGATCATGCACAGTTAACAGATTTATTACTATCTAAAGACGTTGAATTAAAAAAAACTTTAGAGTTAGCAGATGAACAAGCAAAAATACAACAAAAAATGAATGAGTTGAAAGCTGAAGTCGATAATAAGGTACCGCTAAATTATAAAATAAAAAAGTAAACTAGATGCTATTTATTTATAATTCTATGTAATTTAGTGGTGACATATTATTTTCAGGATCAAGACATACATCATTTACAAAGACAGTTAAAAGATGCTGAGCAAATCTTAGCTACATCTTTATATCAAGCAAGACAAAAGCTTGCTTCTATTGTTAAATCAAGGAAAAGACCTGTCCCATCAGAAGAGCTGATAAAATTTGCACACAGGTATATATGATTTTATTGATTGTCTTTTTTCCCATTTCACAAAAATTACAATAATATATAATGTTTGCTCTCATGAAACATCTCATTTATTCGCAATAATATAATGATACATATTATTTTCTTACCTTACTAATTAATAAACCATTGATGACAGAATAAGTGCATCAAATGCTGTAAGTGCACCTCTCTCCTGGCAGCCTGGAGATCCAAGACGTCCTTATCCTACTGACTTGGAAATGAGACTGGGAATGCTTGGGCGGCTATGTGATCTACCACTCAATGGCCACACACCTTCCACTTTGAATGACTTACATCGAATAACCACAGGAGGAGGTAATTTTCCACTATTAGTAAATAAAATTGTTTGTGTTTTCCCTTTAATTATATTTATCTAAATGATAACTTCCTTGTGCATGTCTATTAAGAAATTGTTGTAAGTGTTTATATTTTTATTAATAGAAATTTTTTAAAGGTTAGGTAATTTAAGTTGAATCATAACATTATAATGTGTTAGTGCTATATAGAATGAATGATAGCAATTGTGAGTTGTTAACATATTGCTATTTATATTTCAATATATCACCATAAGAAATCATTTTAAATAAAACTATCTTTTCGGATTATCTTGCGGATTAATTTTGATTTTTGGTTCCAGACGTCTCATATCGTCATTAATCATTTCTAATGACAAAAACAAACAGAAAATGTCAAATATTCTCGTAAATCTAAGAAAGTATTAAGGAATTATATATAGTATCTATATAGATTATTTTTTGGAAATCATATATTAAGATCTTTAAAATAATTTATGAATATGATCGACTTCTCTGTTTCTTGCTAAAATCAATCAAGATTAAAAAAGTTCAATTTAAGACTAAGATGTGTATTGTTTCAACAAAAAAAAGATTAAATAAGTGTATTATTATAAATATAAGTGTTTATTATAAATATCTATCTTAATTTATACATATATTTTCAGTCCCAGCATCTGCCCCAAATCAGTTCACATGGCATCCATCAGGCGAGCTACATATGGCTGTTGGTGGTGGTAATTCTGTAGCTATAGATGGCCGTGGGAAAGATGCACCCACACAGGAAGATGTCGAAGTTATGTCCACTGACTCAAGTTCAAGCTCGAGCAGTGACTCACAATAGTGGTTTTGTGATTCTAGGTGCAATAAGACAGTTAAAGCCAATCACGCGATGGAAGAGTGATGGTTTTTATTGATTATATTAATGCTAGTAATAAAAGTTTTAAATGTAGAGTTTTAAGTGAAATGAAGTGTGAATTAGCAAGACATTTTTGTATGTAAAATATATATTATAGTTCTATTCAAACTGGCACTGCTTGTTATTTATATTATGGACATAACTTATGAAAAATTGTACTTCAGAATATGAAATTTATCACATTCATTTTCACAGTGAAAATGGATTGTGTAAACCATTAAAATATTCATTGTTAAAACAATCCATCAAAATATGTAACAATGAATTATTTTATAAATAAAAAAACAAGAGGAAGTTTTTACAAACTCAAATATAATGAGAAATAGTTGAATTGAACCATATGTAATGTTAACAATTATTTTAATAGATACTTATATTCAAATATACTTTATGCCATTAAGCTTTACAAAAATAAGGAAATCCAATTTGGTATCTGCATTGTTCATTATTCTAGAAAACAATACTCATTGAATATGACTTCTGAGTTCTGACTAATATTGCGTTATTATATTATTCAAATTTACATTACTAATAATAACTTCCCTACCGACTTCGAGTTCGGGCACGGCGGCCAGTCTCATTGAGACTAGCCATCTGCGCAGGAGATATTATAGTGCAGCGCGTGTACGCGCAGACACAACGTGCACTCTATTCCTGTCACTCTCATACTCCGGTGGGACGACACGAGACACTACCGGTGAAAGACTATTACACTGATATGTACAATGTACATGCAAATGTTGAAACTGCCTCAAAAATTAAAAGATTAATATGTATGATTGCAAGTTACTTTGAATGTATGTTTCAGCTACCACTAAGTCAATATCCGTTGTGGAGCTTGGACTCTTCAGAATCATCAGAAATTACGTCGAGCTTAAGTGTTGATACTGAGATGGTGCTTAAATACCTTACCAGCTTAGACGTCAGTAAAGGTCCCGGTAGTGACAACATACCAGCTTTATTTGTCGTAAAGTGTGCTGATGCTCTCGCAGAGCCGTTATGTCTTATCTATAATAGATCTTTTATGCAAGGTTATGTCCCAGCAATATGGAAAGAAGCACATATTATACCCATACACAAAAAAGGGCTGAAGACGAAAATCGAAAACTACAGACCTATTTCTATACTTAATACTTTTAGTAAATTACAAGAACGTATTGTATATAATTATATGTATCCACATATTTCAAAATTTATACCTCAAGAACAACATGGGTTCATGAAACGTCGTTCCACTCTTACTAATCTATCCGTTTTTACTGGTGATATTTTACGAAGCATGGGCGATCGCATCCAAGTGGATGTTATATACACGGATTTTGAGAAAGCCTTTGATCGTGTAGATCATATAATACTACTTCAAAAACTCTTAGCCCTTGGTATCAGCGGTGATCTTCATCGTTGGTTTGAATCATACATATCGAATAGATCTCAAGCTGTTGTAGTCGGTAGTGGTAAATCTAATCTTATTAGGGTCCCATCTGGCGTTCCTCAGGGGTCATTACTAGGTCCGCTCTTGTATGCTCTTTATATATATGACATGGGTAAATGTATTAAACACTCTAAATTTCTTTTATATGCTGATGATGCGAAAATTTACAAAACTATAAACTCACCTGATGATTGCATTTTGCTTCAAAACGATTTAAATAGACTCTCACATTATCTTAAAGCAAATCGTATAACAGTAAACGTTGATAAATGTACTCACATCTCTTTTACGCGAAATAAAAATGTAATCAAAACAACATACAATATTAGTAACACATCAATAAAATCAGCAACTTCCATTAAAGACCTTGGCGTGACATTGGATAGTAAATTAACATTTTCTGAACACATAGACTTAATCAGAGACAAAGCATATCAAAATCTTGGGTTTGTTTTACGTGTCTCGAAACCTTTTTCAGACATTAATACTTTCAAAACGCTTTATTTTTACTATGTTCGGAGCGTATTAGAGTATTGCAGTCCCATCTGGAATCCTCAATACGTAACGTACATTGAGACAATTGAAAAGATTCAGAGGAAATTTATACGCTATCTTAACTATCGTACTAAAGAACCTAAAACAGACTATATTGCATCTTGCTTACATTATAAAATGACCACTTTAGAAAGACGTAGAACTGTGACCGACATGATGCTGTTGTATGACATTTGTAATGGAAACATAGATAATCCTTATCTTATTACAGAAATCTTGCAATTGTGTACCCCTCAAAGGCGCACAAGGCACACTAATTTATTTCATGTACCTTGTCATCGTTCTAACTACAGTAGAAACTCAGTAACTCATAGACTGCCTCAACAGTATAATAAATATTTCTGTAATGTTGATCCATTTAGTAATTCTAGAGGAAGATTTAAGAAAGCTATCATTAACGAACTTAATAAATAACACACGCACATATGTGCGCACACACAACACACACGAACTTACACAAACACACACGAACACACACACACGCACACGCACCCGCAGCCGCACCATTAGTCATAAATAATGAATGGCCGTATCATCATTGTTAGTGTTCTATTATTATTTTTTTCTCATTTTTTGTTTTGCTCCTTATATAAATGCATGGTTTTTTTTTTGTTTTGCCTTTTCTTAAATAAATGTGAACTTAGTCTACCTTTCTATATTGCCTAAATAATGTAAATCCGTAATTGGCTTATGTAAGGTTTTAGTTTTGTACTTACAATTTTTTTTGTATGTAGCTGTGGATTTTGTTTAAATAAATAAATAAATAAATGTCTAAAATAAACATTTGAATAAATATACGTAAAATAGCTCTATCTGTTGTTTTATTAATATCTAAAAACTACGCTTTTTATCTAATAAAAGAGCATTGTATTGTTTTAAGAAATAGGTATACCTAATTGAAAATGCACAGAATTCGTAACTGAGTGCGATATATCAATACCAATGTAGTCTCTATACTTTTTATCTTGCGTAGGTAGTCCGTAAAGCTGAAATATATATTTACTTAATCCGCATGCAAAAAATCAAAAGTAATAAATAAACACTGCCGAAGTTGATCATATAATTTATAAGCCGCGTTGACACGCTCAATGTCTGCTTAGACAAAAACCTTTAAAACGACGTTTTTAAAAATCACTTAGAAACCAATAAATATTTATTAGTTTCTATGTGGCTTTGGTCACTATTCATGAGATCTTATTGGAGTATTTCAATAGACGAAGTTCTCTTTTGATAAAGTCCATTTTGATTCAACGCCGACGTCAAAGTGTGCTTTGAGTGCTCGTTTACACGATCAAAGTAATCTAAACTACTTTGTCACAGGAGGATTTGAGAAAAGTAGAACACGATCAAGTCCACTTTGATGAACGTCCACATCAAAGTGCGCTTTGATTGGTCGTTTACATGATCAAAGAAAAATAAAAAAATTGTGTCAAAGCAGTCATCAAAACTACTTTGTCAAAGTAGACTTTGATCGTGTCAACGCGGCATAATAATTTCCAACTTTATCCTTGTTGCTAGGAAACGGCATCATTGCCATAGTGACAAATATTTTGTCTTAAAATTAAAACAATTTGAATTTCTCATTTGCATTTAAGTTAATAGTATTAATATTTATCATGGGAGAGAGAGCGCCAATTTCTACTGAAGATACGCTCGTGCGATACGACAATCCTGTTTTAGTCACTAAGCAACCTGAAAAAGCTGTAAGTTTTAAATATCAATATTTTATCAGTTTTCGATAAAGTAAAAAAAAAATTAATAACATACATAAAATTAAATCTTTACCGATATTCTGCTAAAACACAACGCTATGACCATTCCAAAAAAAACTGCAATAATTAGTAGTCAATTATAATAATATAATGTGTTGGGACATTAACACACAGCACCACCATCTAGTTCCGTGGTGAGCTACGAGGCTCGTGTTAAGGATACTAGATATTTGATACATTACACATATATAACTTTTAATACAATAAATAATAATAATTAATATATGTATTATAAATATAAGCACCCATGACTAGAGTACAAACATTCGTGCTCATCATATGAATGCCCCCAGCGGGACTCGAACCCGCGACCGCTGGCATAGCAAGTAGAGTCGCTACAAACTGAACCAAACGTGTCGTCATAGTCCTACACATACAAAAAATGATTTTTTTAAATAGGTATCGCCCCCTACCGGTACGCTTGCTCAACCATGTATCCCTACTGAAGCAAAACGTGAAACAGAAGAGATTCTGAATGCCATCCTACCTCCTAAAGAATGGGAAGAAGATGGCCAGATATGGACGCAAAAAGTAAGTTACTTGACACTTTTCACATTTACATAGAGAGAGACGTGATTGACTCTTAAGAGTCTTTCTATTTATCTTTTATTTCACCGATTACAACATCAGATCTCATTTTATTGCCTAGGTAAAATATCTATATCTCATTGCCTATGGTGAAAATATAAATCTTTAGTATTAGCTAGGTGCATAATTATACAATTTCTGATAAAATAGGCCTAACATATTTATAAGTGCGGGTCTGTAGTTGAGTGTTGTTATAATAATAAAAAAATACTATGCATAGATATCATCGACGCCTGCGACCAGATTGGATGTGATTAATCTCCAGGAAATGTTAGACACCCGCTTGCAGCAAAGACAAGCTAGAGAGACTGGTATATGTCCTGTACGAAGACAACTTTATACTCAATGTTTTGATGAACTCATAAGACAGGTAACCTTCTTAGAATTGGCGAAAACACCTCTTTACCCAAATCCTTGGCATAAAACTTGCTAAATGTACATATTTGCAATAGTAAAACTAATACTTTTAAGTTTCCTAAATCACACACACACTTTTAAAAAAAAATCCCTGCCAAAAGTATTTAAATGTATATTTTTTAATTTCACACTTTACTCAACACAAGTACCTATATTACTTAAATAGTTATACTTTCTGTCAGGTAACAATTAACTGTGGTGAACGAGGACTTTTACTATTAAGAGTTCGCGATGAAGCGAGAATCACTATGGAGGCATATCAGACACTTTACTGCAGTTCAATCGCTTTTGGTATGAGAAAAGCTTTACAGGTGCATTATTTTTTTAATAAATCAAGGCTACGAAATATACTACAACACATCAATTTTCTCACGGCTTAAAGGAAAGTACCGTGCTGTATTCTGTAACGCCAGTAACCTAAAGAAACAGTTTGTTTGTTTGAACGCGCTAATCTCAGGAACTACTAATCCGATTTGAAAAATTCTATCAAATGATAGCCTTTTTATTGAGGAAGGCTATGGGCTATGTATTATCATGCTACTGCCCAAGAGAGCGGAGCAGCAATATAATAATAGTCTATCTATTCCATACTAACCGTTAAAACGTACCTAGGGACGAACCCGAGCAAAGCGAGGTTGTGCAACTAGTTAAAAATAAGATTTAGAAATATTAAGACCATGTAATTTTTAGTCTGAGCAAGGAAAATCGGATTTAATGGACCAAGTTGCAAAGTTAGAGGCTGAACGGTCATCTTTAGAAAAACAATGTATGGAGTTGAAACAGAAAACTGAGCAGTTAGAACGTCGAGCCGCAGAACTACGAGCGGCCGAAGAGAAGCGACATCAAGAAGAATTACTTGCATTAAAGAAAACTAATGCTCAGTTGAAGGTAATATTTTTTTGTATGACTAGGCGTTATTATATCAGACTACTATTATAAATGTGAAATTTTGTATGTGTGTATGTGTGTTACCCCTTCCACGTTGGAATGGCTGGACGGTTTTCGATGAAAGTTAGTATACAGATAAACTATGATCTGGAGTAAGTACAGATACATAAGCATACTGTTAGGCACACAGGGCGAGTGTCATTTAGGGTAAAGTTAATAGATAGTTTTTAGAAATTCTAATCAGCATGCCTCACTTTAAACAATTTTTCTTATTATTTTATTATAACTTTGATTTTTTATGTTTACAGGCTCAACTTGAAGGCATCATAGCTCCGAAGAAGTAACTCGTGTTTCAATGTAATGGTATAATAACATAGGTTAATAAATAAAACACAAAATATTAATTTTATTAAAATATATATTAAACCATTTATTGGACAAACATACAATAATTTCATTAGTTTACAATCCACATCGTATAAGAGCCTTAAAAAGATATAAAGACCACGCATAAAAAGACCATTCTTTCATTCAATACGTCAAACTACCGTTTAGAAATCTACTTTTAAATATGATCCAAAAACCAACGGAAATATACACTTTGCTGAGATTAAAAACATTAGAATATACATCTTAGACGTAAAACTTCTCGATGCAAATGCATTTTGTGTATTTTATTTAAAACATAATTATATCTGAATGAATTACCAAAACGGTATGTAAGTACTACAATATAGGATTAAAATCGTAAATCGTAACATTACACAGTAATCTATTTGAGGAATTAAGGCACCACATACATAAAATTAAAACGTTAAATTATAATTATTAATACACCAGTTAAAACAAATACTGTAATTAAAAGATAATGCACGAATAAATTGCATTTGTACTAAATAGTAAAATAATATAAAACAAATTCATAAGAAGGCGGTCGGTGTGATGCCATCTTCACAATAAGCCGTCGTTAATATCAACATTACTTACATTTTAAAATTTAAGTATACACATGACGATGGTATGTACACTTATGTTTTACGTAATCTCAAAAATATTATTCCATTCAATCGCTTCCATTAAATTTCCAGGTACAGCATCAACATTCAGTCAAACGATAAAAACTCGCACGGAATGAAAATATTTAAAGTTACATACGTAAAGTACTCGAAGACAATAATATAATCAAAATAGATAAAACCTATCACAAAATCTTAAAATCTCCGCTCCAAAATTATAATAAAAAAATAAAAATTGTGATCAAAACAAAATGCCACTGCAAAGTGTCGCTCGGCGGTGGATACCTCCGACGGTTCCCATACAAATAATAAGAGCAAAATCGGTGGAATTCTATACTTATTATCACAGTTATAATATAAAATGGATGTAAAATCAATCAATGTCATTCGTTTCGCTGAAGATATCCACGATCGAGTTGTGTTCTCTACGAAACTTATTAAATTATATCGAGTCGATTTTATTTAGCCGGTAGCGTTGTCATGGTGTAATGTAGAGGCGTAGTGTTGCTTCAGTATTAAAACAAATCTAAGAAATTCTTATTTAAGAACATTCTCGATTTAAAACAATTAAATAAGCAATAGACAACAGAAGATAAAAGAGGTTTTAAATCGTTATTAAATCAAAACCAAACTTTCGATTTGAAAGAGAGATCAACATACCATTTACTGGTAAACCAAACTATCCCAGAATAAGGCGCATGAATTTACTTAAGATAATTTATCGAAAGACCATAGGAAACTAGAGCAATGTAATCTGTGCCTTCTATATTACTACATACGGTACAGTTTACATTGCTCAACTTCGAATTTCTCGCCTTACAGATAAATCCCTTTCCAAGTAAAATAAACCTCAAATCTATCATATAATTTAGAACTTATTTAAAATAAAATCATTACTATAATTCTGCCGTCATAAGAAAGAAGACCGTACCTAATAATTTGGTCAAAAACGACATATGCAGATTCGGAATCAGCAAAAAAATGCTACTTGATAGTCTTACAAATAAACCTTTTAAGTCTTATGAATCTGGAGATACCAAAGCATTTTAATCGTAACTACGTCAAAACTAGCAGTAATTTTGACGTAGTAGTAAGACAAAACTTCAAATATCTCGAAATCAACTTTGACAAAATTACGGTCTTCTTTCTTATGACGGCAGAATTGAAAACGAATGTTTATCTACTGCTGTTGATCGTTGTATGTGAGTCTGTGCGAGGGGCCTACCGATATGGCGGTGACGCGGCCGGCGCCGCCGTCCAGCAACGGATTGACCACTTGAACTATGTCCGGCTGTAAGGAGTTTTCCCCCGATTCGACTGTTTCTAGAACAGTCTCTATATCAGAGGGCGCCGTCTCACTACTGGGACTTGTTGTAAGTTCCAGTGATATTATCTTCTCTTGCGTCGTCTCCACCTAAATTTGTTTACATGTAATTAGTGTTATAATTTAAATTATTTTGTGTATGAATTAATAGTTTCATCATATTATATGAGATTAAATATTGGGATGTTTGTATTAAATGTATGTATTGGATGATGAATGAAAACTGAGAAGGATCTTATATACTTTTAGGGAAGTACAGTATATGTAGAATCTTTATGAATTCAGATTATTAAATCCTGGCAATTCTCAAAATAAATAGATGTTAAACTAGATGTTTTTTCAATGAAAAATGGGCTTTCAACTAAATTCTATTAACAAAAATGTATGTATGTTATGTGAACTAAAATATGTACTAAATAATAATTTTGTAAATTGTGAATAACGTAAATATAAAGAACATGCACTAGATAGGTAAGTCTTCCCCCAACAAATATAAAAATGATAGGTTCTGCAAGCAGAAAGGCATAGTTGTTTAAACAATCTACAACAATATCATATTCTCAAAAAAAAGACATCATGAAATATTTTATAACTCTAATTAATAACTACAAATTAGAGTAATGGTAATATGATATTATTGCAGCGAAGCATTATAAGTATATAAAAGAAAGAAACAAACCATTTCTTTCGGTGAAGATTCCGTGTCTAGAATCCAGGTATTGTCTGACAAATACACAATTAATAGGTTAGCATGCCATGCCAAAACATCATGCAACACACGAAATATGAGATAAAATCATAACTCTCAAAAATTCATTTTGCATTTTCAAAAAAAAAAACAACTAACTTCATTATATTATCTTGATTTCAGTACCTAGAGTATATATACACAATTCTATCTTGCCACCATATTTACAAATTAGTTGTGTAAAACTACGTGTTTCTACGTATCAATACTATTAACGGTGTTGCACGAATGTGCCTAGTGATACATTATGTGCTAGTAAAGGCCCCAGTAAAATATCGATTTGGCTGTCAACGTCACTCAAATATCAGTCTTAAGTCAGTCAATCACTAACAGTCGGTATAGTGATAGGTAGTTTAGTCATCAGTCAGAATCGTTGTCGTAAATAAAAAAGCTAAGCATCTGTATAATACACAAAATAGAAAACCACACGAAAACGGCATTTTACAGCGTCGTATATATCCAGCGCGATCGCGTACCTCTTTCTCAATGACTTTCTCAATGTATTCGACTGTTCTCACTTTAGTCTCTCCGGTCGCAGGACAAACATATTCTTCTGTGCGTAGAGTAATGCGCTCGTCTAACAATTTTTCCTTCTCCTTCACTGCCAGTATCGGACCCGGTTTTGTACGTAACGCGATACGTGGCAGGGGCCATTTCTATAATTTGTAAAGCCAATCTTCACATACACACCCGTATTACAGCAAAGCGATACCCAACCATAGACAACACAAGTTAACACAACTGTTACACTCTGGCCGGTCTCTCTAAACATACGTTATAAAGCAAGACGGTATCCAATAGTGCTATTTGCTGATTTATTTTACTATGAATTTACTTATATTTTGTGTAATTGGAAGTCATGTATCCAAGTTGGTATCGATATTTGTAACCCCAGCTATTATTACATTGACATGTTGTTAATTACCATTTGTTATCTTTTAGGTACAAACAAAAACATACATTAGGTATTGAATTACAACAATTTATTGGTTTCGTTAAATAAAAAGAACGAAATTTATATTTTGACCTTCTAATAAAACTAACGTTATATTAAATATGTATATGTATAAAAACAAGTAATATAACAAAAAGTCGTTATTATTATTAACGTGAAACAAAAATACTTGAAAGTAGCAAAGATGAATGTATATTATTATTTTTTTTATTTTGGATGACTCCCTAGTACATTTTCTAGTAATTTTCAAATATAAATTTCATTCTTTTTATCTAAAAACAATCATCAGGTTTTAGGGCACCATTCTGAACATTCTGATTAGTGCTAAATCTTTACCTCGGAAGGAGAACTATCTCTGGTTGGCACCTCTCCTATGATTTCATGCGCTGGACCCACCATGCTTTTAATTGCTTTTTGTGATTCAATAGCATCCTAAAATATTATAATTAAGTTAACCCTTTCATCTAAGACGCGACTGTATTATGGTTAAAATTATGTCAAAGATGCGAGTTAGAGAATATCTTTCAGTACTGAAATACAAAGATCATGCTCTTTTGACTTGCAGGCATTCATTCAGTTTCAGTTAATAATCAGCTTAAAATTAATTTTGAAGAAATTACCTGGCAATTAGACTAAAAATACCATAGACAAGAAAAAAACACTTATAAGGCCAAATATTAAACACACTTTTAACAACTCCATATAAAAGTACAGTATTCAAAATTATTGCTAAGAAGCAGTTGATTTAGAGTAGTTTAATATCAAAGGGAAAATATAAAAATTACTAACATATACATTTATATTTTCCGCATAAAATAAAGGTCTATCACCCCTGTCTAACGTATCTATCTTCCCCGGCTAACGTATGACTAGATATTAAAACTTAACACAAAAATCCCTGTCTATCCTACAAAATTCAAGTTCAAAATATTTTATTCAGCATTAAATTAGCTATTTTAAAATACTTCTACTTGCCGTATTGAAATGGAACTTTATAAATATAAATAATAATGATACTATATGTAGTTCGGATGATAATACTATAATTTGATATGTTGGAGCTAATGTGAACTTGGAGCCAGGAGGTGGATAGTAGAACTCTTCAGTATTAGATAAATCTCTCAAGTTTGGGCTCATATGATTGGTTATGAGGAGTCCCATACTTTTCATTTCGTCAAAAGCGTGTTTTTTTAAAACTATAGTTGAGGAGCGTCAGAACAAAAACCGATAAATCACATTTTGACATTTGTTAATGTAACCTGGTCGAAAACTGATAAATCTGCTCTAAATCCGTCCGCGAAATACTCGGATCTGAATATAAACCGATAATTACATCAATCGTACTAAACAACGATGGCAATCGGAACAGATACTGATAAATCCCTAACATGTTTCAAATTGTTGACTCTTTTGATTCTGTCAAAAACCGATATACGAGCTAATTTCGAGTTTAGGTATATCTTACAGTGTTTTATCAAAAACCGATATATCCAGTTGGTTTGGTCAATAACCGATATATCCATTTTCTTTTTTTTCAACCGACTTCCTCAAAAAGGAGGAGGTTCTCAATTCGACTGTATTTTTTTTATTTTTTTTTATGTTTGTTACCTCAGAACTCCGTCATTTATTAAGCGATTTGGATGATTTTTGTTTTGTTTGAAAGTGGATATTTCCAGATTGGTCCCATTTAAATTTCATAAACAAATACCACCCCTAAAGGTGGAAAAATAGCGAATGATGAATTTAACCTACTTCTAATTGTCGCACGACGCACAAAACGCTTTGCCTTGAAACTTTGCAAGTGTTTCTATTTCCGTTGATATTTGATTAGGTATGTATAGTAAATGAAAAGTACCAATCAGTTATTTTTTACTTTTTAATGCTTTTTAGAAGTCGGTTTTTATTTTTCCCTTTTTAACTCAACAGGTACCACAGTCACGAATGCAGAATTTAGGTTTCCAAACAGTGATGCTAACACCAACAAATTGATAGGTTTCGTTTAACTCTAAATTAGAAAACCATGAATTTGGCCATATTTTACATTTTTCAACAAAAAACGCAAATGTGATTTATCGGTTTTTGTTCCGACGCTCCTCATTTATATTATCACACAATGATCCCCATACAAATACCGTACCTTTTCTAGCGAGCGCAACCTAGCGGCACGCCAGGCGGCGCGGCGCGCGGCCCGCGCCTCCGCGTCCTCCTCCGTCCCGTCGCGGTTGGCGCGTCGACGCTGCGACTTCGCAGAGGGACTCACCCCGCCCAGTGACACACTGGAATTGTTTGTGTTGTTTATATTAACTAGAGTTCGCCGAGTGGTCGAACTTCGACCATGATTATTATAGATTTTTTTTATTTATAAAAGTAAAGCTCGTCAATAGCTACTAAACTATACATAATTCTCAATTTGACCACAGATTTTAACAATAAACAAAAGAGTATATATATATATATATATATATGTATATATATATATATATATATGTATATGTATATATATATATATGTATATATATATATATATATATATATATATATATATATATATATGCGTGTGTGTCAAATACATAGGAGTGTGTGTAATGTCTTTTTTTATTGATTTAATGTATTTCTTATGAATAATTTTAAAAAAATATTAGCATTCTGCACTACATCTCTATATAAACTATAAGTGTGGGAAATTTCATACTCCTCCGTCCACGTAATTTTCGTAAAAAGGGGTACAACATTTTTGCTTAACGTATTAATATATAGATTACCTCGTTAGTTTTCAATTTCATTAGTTGTTCAAAATTATAATATTTCAATTTAGGGAAATGAATAATAGTTTTAGGCAATTTCTGTATACACACAAACACATAATAAGTACAATATCTTCAAAGGTATTCGAATTTTCATTATTGAATATTATGCTAAATTTCGAGAGCGAACGGGTTTAAACAAAAAAATACCTAAGTTGCTTTTAATACAAAATATTTATCTACATCAGGTCGCTTTAATAATTATATAACTACTGTTGTCGACGCGAATCACGAGGACAGGATAAATGTGTGAACATAACGGCAATGTGAGAAGGCATATAAGCAGAAAAAATCATGACCCTATCACTCAGCCAAAATAATAAAAGAATTGTATACCGCGAGTCGTACAGATTGCTATATTCATTACCATAACTCATAACGCACCTATGGCCATTTTCGTACGGCTCGTCGTCAGAGTGCTCGCTATCTCCGCTGCGGTCCTCCCCGGGGGACCACGCGAGCTCAGAGCGTGACAGCGACGCCATTTTCCTTTCCTCTTCCTGCTTCAATTTCTCCACCTCATCCGCTGATAAGAATGTGAACACTTTTTCTGCGGAATTTATTAAGAGTTTTTACCTTATAATATCAATGATTAATTATTGACAGGTGTAAATCGTACGGGTCGCGTAATTAGATGCGAAGTATCATTTATTTACTCGGCCTACCTGGTTTAGGCGATGACTTGTGGCTTTCTTCCATTGCATTCTCGAAGAATTTTTTCTTATCGCTTACAGATGCTTTCACAAAATTACCAGATTGAGGTGGGGAAGCCTGTAATACATAATTACTATTGAAATAAGTGGCCAATTATGTATTAAATATATTTCAATGAAGTGAAAGTATGGATTAAAAAGCATATAAATATTATATTTACAAGCTATGAAAACCCATCTCCAGGCTTTGAACACCCATGCAGTCAGTAAAATTTTAATATTATTTGAGGTGGTGTAATACTTTAAACGAAAATCAATGTTAATAATGTAAGTAAATAAATAGAGACATGCAAAGTATAAAGAAATGCAAGTTAATGACGATAACGGTAACATAATGGGACGATGACGGAATCGTGTGTGTTTTAGTTTTTGGGGTAGTCGACGAACACAATCAAAAGAAGCTGAGTGTTGTGTGAGATGCCGTACATTTATGATTACCTCGCCGATGGCGAAGGATTTGATTTTGCTGCTCCATGCGGGTTTCATGGGCGATGCGGGCGAAACACTCCCTTCTCTCGCTAAGTCCAAACTGTTTGAATCTATATCGAATTCGAGCGCAGTCGTCACTTCGCCAAACCGAACTCTCCTCTCTGATTGAACACTTTTAGTCGCATCTCCCGCTTTAATTGGAACAGATTGTGTGACGTTGGCGTTAATGTCTTTTCCTACTGAACTAACTAATGGCGGTGATAATTGTGGTATCGAAGTCGAGTATGACATCTCGTGAGAAACACGTACCGGGAGAGTGCATGTGTATGGGTTATACGTTCCCGCGACAGTCGTTAAAGATGGATACGGATTACTTTGAGGATAAGTCGAAGAGTGTACCATATTGGATGAAACATTTTTAATTCTTAAGTCTCTTAAAGATACATTAGTATCTTCAAAATACTTTTTGTCGGGATGCAGATAGCAAGGTGAGTTGGGTATATGCGAAACTGTAGGAAGTATTTTATACTGAGCATGCAACAATTCTGGCGGACCGGATTTCCCTACAGGACTAAGTGATAATTCATTATAAGAGTCATCATCGTCATTGGAAGAAAGTTTAGTACGGAAGACTTGATATGGAGGCACTTCAGAAATTATTGGTGATGTAAGAGGGTTGTCTAAACACAAGGAAGAGTCTAAGATCGGATGAGCTTGGTAATTTACGGGAGGAGGAAAATCAGTTTCCGGTGAATTAGTTGAATTCGAGGACTGCATAGCTGTTTCGGCCACTATAGGTTCTGGAAGAACTACACGCTCGGGTACAATCGTTATAACAGGGAGATTTAGCTCGTGATCTTCATGAACTAATTGACTCTGACTTACTTTTGTGGCAAATAGTGGCGGAGGAGGGATGATAAAATCGTCGGGGCGGACGACGTTCGATTTGATTTCTATTTTTGTGGGTCGGTTTTGTATTAGTATAGAGCTGTCTCGGCATGCATCGTTAGTAGTTTCTTCGTCATGCATCGTATGAATGATTCTAGGGTTTCCGTCGTTCGTGTCGTGAGGTTCCGAAATGAAACTAACTCGCTTCGTTTGCGGTTTTCGGGGTACTGGAGGTTTCTGTTTAGCAGGTTGAGGTTGTGGTGGATCAACGGGGGTTCCGTCTGTAGCCGATGCAGGAGATACACTCTGAGGGGTCGGGCTCTTCACTTTCTGATGCGTGAACACTGCGAGCGGTGACAGCGGCGTGGGCGAACTAGACGACTGACCAAACCAACATAATGTACGCTGCTTTTACATTGCTAACACATTTTGGAAATATTTCATGTATTTGATCCCTGTCGGGATAAAAGCGACTTGCAAGAAAACGACAATTACGTAAAATACTAATAAACAAAAAAAAGACAAATCAACGGGATAATATGGCGCCGAAATTAATCTTCCAAAATAAATGTTATAAAAATTTGCTAACGAAAATATTACAATACACAGAAAAACTTCATCTTTTTTTATAAACAACGTGTATTTAAATTCAACACTAAATATAACCTCAATAAGAATATAATTTTAATAATATACAAAGGTGAAATTGAATTATTATACACAAAGACTATCAAAAGCCCAAACAAATGGCAGTTGTAAATTTGGCAAACCTCACATTAAATTTTAATCAATAATTTTACTAATCGAATTATACAGAATGTATCCAATAAAAAGCCGGATGGCACAATAAATTTGATATGTCCAACTATTCCGATAAAATAATAAATAAATGAAAAAGAGCACAAAGGCAAAGCGAAATTAGCTTTTAGAAGAAAATAGGCCAAAATAAAGAACATTGAAATATCACAATAATACTCACTGTTGATATTTAGATTTTTAAAGGAACTTACACAATGACATTCTTTATTAATGCTACTTTCAAGTAAATAATACAATTTACATAGTTTTAATAATTTGCATAACATGTAATTGATGTAAACATTGAAGAAAAAAATATGACAGTATTTTTTTTAAATATAGGTACTCATTACAATTTCAAAAAAAGCACACTTTTTATATATTATCAATAGAAATAAAAATTGATTTGTTTGATTTAATAAAAAAGGTACACTTTATGTATGTCATATCAAGTGTAAAATACAATACCTTCATTAATTTTATTTTGGGTCATCAGCTGGTTTTAAATGAGTTAATTATATGTTGCTTATGTTTATTTTGTAAGAATATAAGTATATAATAGGACTAAATATTGAATATATCGTAGGTTAGGTACAAAACGGTATCCAAAAAACGTTTACAGTATAATTTACTACACGATCAAACATCACAATCTAAATATTGAACAGTACACAATATTGGTCACTTTCACATTATTGTTTTAATATTATATTAAATATGTGTAAATAGTAATGATTACAGGTATTACGCGGTAAATTATTAAAAAGGCTGTTTTTATAAATATCGTAGTTATGGAATAATATATAGGAATCAAACACACATCCAAACGCTACACAAGTCGAATACATATTTGTAATTGTTATATATGATAAGCCACCAAAATATATGTATTATTTTTCGGAATATAATAATTAATGATAAGTACCAATCCTTAATAAATAGCTTATAAACATCTAAAGAAAGGTAAATTGCAATTACTATAAGGCTAATTACCCTCCACCGTGATAAAGTCCCCATATAGTACATCAAATTCAAAAATATAATAAAAATTTGGCGATACTAAGAGGTCACTCTTACGCGTTTGTATCGTGTATTTATACGGCTAATACGGCCCTTTGCTATGGAAGTGTGCTCAAATGTATGTATATTGCAGAGTTATATAAACACTTGAAACTTTTCATGATTATAAAACATTAATGTGTTTATGGAAACATTGTATATTCTATTGTATATTTAGGTTTAGGATATCATTTTCCTTTTAAATCGACGGTAATTAAGTACGTCGTCAATGTACTTTCAAAGTCGACTAAGACGATATAAACTAGTTACTAGTTTCGATCTAACAGTTTCAGTATAAACTATTCAATAAACATAACGTTATTTATGAATATTTTAACTTTAACATAAAAGTCTGAAAGTGCTAGGTGCTAACAGCAATAGATTAACTTACTCGTAAACTTAAGACACTTTTATAACATCACATACTATATCTTTATAATTGATATATCAGGACTTAGCTATTATTTCCAAAAAATCTGTTTGTTCAATATTATATTTATAATGCAGAAATATAAGTACAAATAGTGCATTTGCAACTTAAATATGAATAAGGATAGGATATTACCTGTAAACCTCAATTTTACGAGTAAGAAAACTCATCATTATTTTGTTTATGATCAACTTATCAATATAATAAGTTTATATAATAATTAATAACCTTTTGAACGATTTCAACCAATAATATTTTATAGACAATCACATTTATAAAAACTCTTATCTAAGTCTAGCCGTCTATATTACCCACAAATGATTTACAATAAAAACTGAAAAATAAGCTCGGAATGAAATAACTAAGCTTTATATTGACCGTCATGTTCAGTAATATGCGTTTGTTAAATAAAAATTTTATATAAAAATAAAATGAAAACAAATTATAACCTAACACATTTAGGTTATGATAATTAACTAAAAATATTGCTATGGAATAATAAACGAGACATTCGACAAGTTTCGTTTGATCTTATTGGACAAGTAGCGTCATTACTTTCCGAACACAAGTTCCATAATAGATAAATCTCAGACTTAAAGTATTATATAGACGGAATCCGCCAAAATAAATGTCAAAATTAAAAATAGTTAGCTTGATTTGTTTTTTATGCTACTTTTCTAGATTTTGCTATAAATATCGTTTACTTTCGAATTTAAGTATAAGGGATATTGGATATATGAATTAGATAAATTAATATACAATCTTTGAGAACAGAATATGTATTATAAAATAATACAATATTTCTTTGTATTTTTGAAACTATAGTTCTCTTTCCCTTGAAAGAGAGATAGCACACTATTAGCTTATTTAAATCCGTTAGGTTTTTTTTATTTACATTTACTGACTCATCACTCAGTATACAAAATTGTCATTTGTTTACTATTATATTAAAACATTTTAATAAATTATTGTTTATTTCTATGACACTGTCTACATTATTCCATAGTCTGAGAGATAAATTGATCAATCGAAACTTTAACATGAGGATCTTAATAATAGATCGAAAACACGTGAACAATGATTTATTTATATTAAATTAATAATAACGATTTAATTCGCCTCACATTATTTATATATTTACACTAATTGGACAGATGTTTTATTGCTGTACTATGTGTTCCCTTCCATTCCGTGTGGGTGTGTCTGCAATGGACGTAATACGTATTGTCAGTAGTACTCTAAATGTTATTGCCTCCTCGATATATCGCCTTAGCTAACACATAACGACACCAACTAACTAGGAAGTATCATAAATATACTTATATAGAGTTGGCGTTTGAAAGGCTACGTTGTAAGGATCCAATACAATGTCGAATACTTTCACAAACACGAATTGAGGTAGCATGCACACTTTAGGCTACGTGTAAGTACTCGTATAGCCTGGCGCTACAGACAAATTACTCACAAAATCTAATAATAAAATCATAAGTCGAGAGAACCAACAAGGAGTCAATACAACCCTTCCCGTTCGACAAAATATATTACATCAATAAATACTAAACAACATTTATTTTGGAAGATATATTAAAAGATAAATTAAAAATACGTAAATTACTTAATAAATATAATTAAATATAAAAAAATAATAATATAATTTTCATGCAAGCTATAATATTGTACAGGGGAGTGCATGCTATCAAAAAAAACCGACGTGCAAAAATCAATTGCAACTTGGTTAAACACCTAAAAAAAAGTTATTCATTTTAAAAGTATACTACAGATCTACATATATATGTATTAATACTATAGGTATACTATTTCATGCTAAAACATTATTGATATAGTTTGTATTAAATATATATTATAAATTATGAATATCAAACTTAATTGATACGAAATAATTTAAAAGGTGTAAGCAGTCTTACTGTGTTATTATTGCGTCTATACAATTTTTAATCAGGTTTATTCTTATTGAAAGCCATTTTAGTTTAGTTACTAAAATTGGACTAGTTAGCAAAGTGTATTATTTTAAGTGTCCGAAATTAATATAAACAACATTGCATTTATTCTGAAAATTCGGTTCACATATGTATATTATCAAATTTTACTTGTCATTTCATTAATTTAATAACGGACATATTAAAATAGAGTACATGACTTTCAATAACAAAAAATATATTATATACATAGTATAAATTATCATGTATAACCCAAAACATTTTACGAGTAAATACTAATTTAATTTATATAACAATATTACTTCATGTACTCCATTTAACGAAAGTAATATAATGTCAGAGGGTAGGGCCCGTGAGTGAGTCTCTCTACAGAGGTAAAGCTTCATACAATCTCGCAACGATACTAACTACTACATAAGGCGCAGTTTTGTCAACGCGATGTCCGTTCTATTCAGCCCTTTTTAACGTCCCACTGCTGGGCACGGGCCTTCCGTCAATACGAGGGTGAGCAGGCCATAGTCCACCACGCTGGCCAAGTGCGGGTTGGCGGACATCACATGTCTTTTGAAAACTTGCTAGGTTTTCTCAGACATGCAGGTTTCTTCACGATGTTTTCCTTCACCGTTAAAACAAGTAGCAGTCCGTTGACAAAACCAGTTTTTTCGGCTCGAGATGTTGACAACGCAAGCCGAGCGCATAACATAACGCTCCAAAGAAAACTTATGTAATAGTGTACCAATCGTTGTATATTTGTATGAAGCTCTCTCTGTAGGGAAACTTACTTAAATTGCTGGAGTGTAGCTGGTGTGTCTGTACATGTATAAGTATGTGTATATATCTAGTGGGTGATGGTTACCTGAGGCTGTAGGGTGTGTTTGGACATGACGACTGTGGTGGTCTTGTGGTGTGGCTCGGGCGAAATGGGCGGCGCCGGGTCTAGCGCGATGCTTTCCACTGCGTGTACTATGTCCAGTACCTGAGATGATTTGTGACGGTTATTTGTATATATATACCGGTATACACCTTAATGTACATCACGCGTGAAATACGCATTAAATTAGAGATAATCAAGGGTGGTATACATATAAATGTTACCTTTTCTGGGGTTGATTTCTCTCTCATTTCAGCAACTTGTTTCTCTTGTTCGAATTCGACGATGTCTTGTCTGTGTTGCTCCTAAATAAAAATAAGTAAAATAAACAATATTATTTTTCCATATTTCCACATAAAAAGAATACAGTATAAGAATTAAGAATATATCACATTACTTTATAAAACTTTATATACAATATGATCTTGTCACATATGTACATACGAGCACATAAATATCACCCATATTTATTATTACCCAATGTGTGGTCTATAACTAATTTCATAAATATAATGGATGTTTGATATATTGTTGGTTTCTTCTTCTATTACGAAACATACAAAAATTGTGGTTGCTGAGCATAGCGGTTATTACTACTTTAAGAAAATCAATAAAAACAAATAATTTAATGACAATATAAGATTCGATGTGCGGTGATATCTATTAAAACAAAATAAACTCTGTATTAATAAAAAAAATAGCATTATAAAGTAAAATAAAAAAGATAAAACTACATACGTGTTGCATAGAGTCATCCCGGTCGAGGCTCGAAGTCGAGTGTGAAAGAGAGCCTCCCGTGTCGGCTGTCCCGCTCTCACTGCCCGTCTGTTATGTATTTACTTAGTATACTATTTGCTAGCTTTGTGCTTGTGATATATTTATTACTTAATACACTAACTACTTGGTAAAATCGTGTTTTACTACTTTAATAAATATATATAGATTATACATATATAGTATTTAAAGAATAACGTGCAGTGCTTAATTGTGAGGGCAGCTTATGCATAGCTTTAAACTGATATTGATATGAAACGTGCTATAAAATATGACACATAATCTATTTAAAAACTAGCATTTATGTAAAATGTTTAATAAATAAACTCTTTGTTTATAGCCTTATGTCTAAATAAGTCTTCGATGAAAAATAATTAAATAAAAAAGAATCCATAGTTTGTCCATTTTATTAATAGTTTTTTTGACAGCTCGACGACTGACAAGTTATAGCGATGACCTACAGGACGTAATAATCGATATAGCTTTTTTTGGTAAAGTATATAATATAATATTTATTTTCATATTAATAAATATGAAAAATATTATATTATATATTTTACAAATTAAAAAAATATATATATACGTCAACTAGCAACATCAACCGAGCGTCCGTCCGGCCGCCATTTTGACGTAGTCTGTCACTCGTTTGTCTTTTTTTCTTTTTCCTTCTCTGTTTCAACCTTAAAATGTTGTTGTCTTCCTGATTAAATAACATATTACACCTTATTCACATACTAGCATTTATTTTTACCGATTATTTGTACTTTGCCGATTTATTGTAATCTGTGGCACAATCGTAGCAATCGTTATGTGTGGCACATCAATAAGGGGCGGTATCCGTCCATGAAGTGCCATATTATTTATATGAAATTTTAACTTGAACAATACAAAACTTCATGAGCGTGAGTTGTCAAAAAAATTATTAATAAAATTGACAAACTACAGTGCCATCTCACTTATTTTTTCTTTAACAAAATAAATATTAAGTATACGAAAAGAACGCGCTTTTGACTTTAATCATAACAAAAGTCCAAACGCGAACGTTTTACTTTTACTAGTAGCGTTTAAAGATTTACACTATCCACAACTGCTATGTGTGGTCCATCTGACACTCCTTTATCAAATCTTCTCGCTATTATGAAGTTATTACATTACTACAGTAAAAAATCCATTCAGATCACCTAATAGTTTTAACGGAAATGCAAGGATTATCAAAAAATACCAATTGCCAAGGCGAACTAGTTTCGAAGTTAAAGCATGGTGTCGTCATCTAGTTACAATTTACAGTTAAAACCGTCAACCCCAAATTCGTTTCCTGACTATCATATGACAGTCGGGTGTGTTCCTCGCACGATAGACCTGCCTTGATGCCTTCATTATACAACTGTATATATTAATAGACTGGTTTTACCATCCATATATCACACACATACAAATCTCCAAATCATCCCACATTTACTGCCAATGTTAACAAAAGCGATTTAATAACAACATACCGTATATTTTAAATAAAACTATCTTTTCGGATTCTTTTCAAAGGTATTAATATAGTTGTTATAGACGGCCTACCCATAACAACTACATAGATAATACTTTTGAGATATCTAACACCTTAGTCTCTCCCGTGACCATGATTGCTGTAAAGCATTCGAAGCGTCGGGAACCAAAAAAATCATCATCAAAAATTCGAAAAGATAGTTTCATTTAAAATGTCAAATATTCGCCTAAATGTAAGAAAGTATAACATACCGTATACTTCTCGGGGCGTGAGTATCCGTGACACACGACGAGGTGCAGCGGCGCGTGCGTGGCGGAGCGCAGCGCGTTCACCGCCTCGTTGTGCGTGGCGCCCAGGAGAGACACGCCGTTCACTTCCAGCAGACGCATGCCCACCTGGATATTCAATTTTATTAATATATACTAATATTATAAAGAGGTAAAGTTTGTGACGTTGTAGGGGGTAATCTCGGGATCTACTGGACCGATTTAGATGAAATTTGGTAAGAAGATAGTTTGAGACCCTCAGAAGGACATAGGATACTTTTTATCCCGGAAATCATCCCTTAAGGGGGTGAAAATGGGGATGGAAGTTTGTATTGTTAATCAAGCCGAATATAGGGACGAACCCGAGTGAAGCGAGAGTGAGTCACTAGTAAATTATATATTTATGCGATTAGGTAAAATTAGATATTGAGAGTATTAGTATCGGCAACATCGGTGGTACATGTCGATAGAAGTGTTAACGCTACTTCTATATTTTTTAATTTGGCAAAAAACGATATTAATTTTTCTGTATCAACCTAGATATTGGGACAATTAATATAATTAATAAGTAAGTATATTATACTTATACAATTAATATAATTGGCAAAACTCGATATACATTTTTTTACTTTTGCCAGAATGAGTATAGTTAGATTATACATATTATTAATAAAATTGTACTTTGCACTGCTTAGTAGTAAAACCTAAGTAGTCTATGTCACTAATCACCATAGAATAATATGTATTATTAGACGTTATGTGTTCTAACTATTTTCATAACAATTGCCGAGACTACAAATTGTGGTATATCTCATTTATGTCTAAGTTTTTCGTGAATTCATAAAGCAAATATGCGAATTTTAAAAGTGCATATTTAATTACCTTTAGCCTTCCGTCGCGTCTGGCTGCTCCGCCACTGTTGATTTTCGATATAAATACTCCCTCATCGTTAGGGTCGTTAGGGTTCCCGCGTTGGCCATTCAAACCTCCCTTTATATGCATGCCCAGCTTTTCTCCTTCTTGTTTTGTTATTGTTAAATCCTAAAAAACAATATAAAATTAATGCATATCGTACTGAATAATATGTAAAATAAATAAATATTTTGTTATAAATATTTTTTGTTACAACAACAATATTTAAAAATTTTACATGTGATGCTTTTGATTATAAGTATGCTATATTATAGAATCATACAAGCTAATTAACTATTCAAAAACTCTTTTCAAATCCATGCAAAGCCAATACAAGCATGCAAACTGTTTTGAGACGTTTAAGACGCACATTATTACGTATAAAGCACAAAAAGAAGATATGTGTACTAAAATTATCGCAGGTATCACAAAGAACATAAATAAGGTTCAAAATGGATAAGCCTTTAAGGGTTGAAGCTTAAACCTAAAATATAATTAAGCAATTAAAATTGGGACCATAGTCACGCTCTAAGAGAGTGAAGCACAATATAACGACGTCTGAGCACACGAAGGCACTGGAAAGGGGAAATTTTGACACAAAATAATCGGATAAACACACATATTTTCGATTTTGTCTTATGACGATCACTTACAGTTGCGTTAACAATCTCAACTTGAACGACACCCTGTATATGTGTGGTGTGGGCCGAAGTACGCGCGTGTGGAACAAAACAATGTTATAACATTTTTATAACGACAAAATACTGTTTCAATACTCAATACAATAAACAAGCTTTATTCCAAATATTACTGCGACAGTATTAAGCGACAGAATTCGCAGCACAGAGTTTGATAACTTACGCTTTGTTTCGTTTAAGCCAAATGCAATTTGCAATCTTCCGTTGCCAAATACTACATAAGCGTCAGTATTCTACTCCATAACAAACTCATGAGGTACTTTAACTCTCATTTCAATTAACGATTGACGATAACTTACAGTCATGCACATGTGCAGTTTTTTTGTGTATAATGTCATTACTAAATATACGGTATGTATGTTATAAATGGCATGACATTCAAATCGTGACATGTTGCAGATGCTGTTTAAATTCATAAATTAACAAAGCTTCCATCACTCATTTTGCAATCATTATTATAACAACTTACTGCGCGAATGACACAGGATCGCCAAGTTAAAAAATAAATCTTTGTATTAGGTTTTTCTGTAGTGTAGATAGATACATTGAAATTATTTAATAAAAAATAAGCTTATCTTGAACTGGTATAGTTATTGATACATAATACAATACATAATACAATATATAATTAAATATATTACGTTTATTTATATACATATAAAACATTGAACTATCAATTTTTAAACTTTGAAAAAAAAAACCATCATTTATTATATACATAATAATTAAATAAATACAATTTAAATAAACCATAAACTATCTTTAAGTTGAGACATGTAAAATAATGAATGGTAATACGATATAGTATGAAAGATGGCGTATCCTGTGTCATATGGCGGGTTGTATTCGCACTGACCTGGAAGCCCGCGGGCAGGGGGTCGTGTCGCACCGACAGCGTGAGCGTGGCGCCGGGCTGCAGCAGCAGCTGTACGGCATCGCGGTGAGACGCGCCGGTCAGCTCATTACCGTTCACTTTCACTAAACGGTCACCCATACGTAATTTACCCGAACGAGCCGCTACACCGCCTGGCACGATCTGATTAATAGATAAATACTTTATTGCACACAGAAGAAGATTATAGAAGTTGAAAAGACAAAAAGGCTTCAAATGAAAAGATTAGTGGAATCGTAAAATAATAATAAATGAGCCGTACTCATGTTGTTATATTAAAACTACAATTAAAATAAGGACAGAGCAGTTAAGTGATATGAACTCGGTGCCATCAAAGAGAGAAAGAGAAGAAGATAAGAAAGCTTACATGTGATATGAAAATTCCAGGTTCCTTGCCACCAAACGGCACGCAAGAATGATCTGTTCCGCCAATTATGCTAAAACCGAGTGATCCCCCTTCTTTTACTAATGTGACATCCTGGAACAAAGAAATATCTAGATGTAATAAAAAATACATTTTAATAATGATTCAGCCAAAAAGCGGAAGCCGATTCATAAAAGTCAATTATATTACTTATAAATATATAAATAATGTGTTTATATTTAATATGTGACCTGTTATCATTTTTGTAAATGAAAGACCAAACAAGCGTGTGTCAAACGAATTCATTGAACTAACACAGAAAGTAGCTCGCTTTCTGCGAAGTTTAAATGAATACGAACGCATACCTAACATAATAATATGAATAAAAAATATAATATAAAAAAACTCAAACTATTATTTTTTGTATTGTATTCAGCCCTTTTTCACGTCCCACTGCTGGGCACGGGCCTCCCTTCAGTACGAGGGGAATCAGGCCATAGTCCACCACGCTGGCCAAGTGCGGGTTGGCGGACTTCACATGTCTTTCGAAAACTTGTTAGGTTCACTCAGACATGCAGGTTTCCTCACGATGTTTTCCTTCACCGTAAGGCAAGTGGTAATCATGTTAGAAATGATTCGCACATGAAAAACTAACTATTATTATAAATGCTTTGTTCATTGTATTGCTTTACCAATGAAAAAAATTACGCTACCGGCGGGGCGTGAGAAACATTTGTGTTTTAAATTTCATACTATCTGTCTTCCATTTTTAAACGGCTAAAATTCAAAATTTGGACTCATTAATTCATATGAAACATTTATTAACTTTTTAAGGAATTTGATTTATATGGATTTTATTTGCACATATTCATCAGAAACCTACACTTCTAGGCAGTTTAAAGTTAAAAAATATATTATAAAGACCAAAAACTACGAATTATTAACGTTCAATACCGATAGATGTATGTGCGGGTAGTTTCAAACAGTAAGTACCAATCAATAACTATAATAATATAAGTATACCAGAGTAATCTATCTATACATAGGCATAAGAAAATTGTAACCAAGCCGAATCTGTACATTAAATATTTTTTGGAAAATCTTATTGAAATAAACATTATAACGATACAGAGGCCGAATCTATAGTTTTTTTTTAATTTTTGTCTGTGTTACTGCATCACAGAAAAACCACTGGACGGATTTGGATGAAATTTGGTATGGTGATAGCTGGTTATCCGGGTCAACATATAGAATACTTTTTACCGCGGGAAAATATATCATTTTTGAGAAAAAATACAAAAACTACAATGTAAGTGTATACTAAGTATTTAGTTTTTGGTCATCTGAACGCGGGCGAAGCCGCGGGCAATGCTAGTTCAGTTTACATATTAAGTTCTTTAAATCTGACAAAATGGATTGTACATATATTCTGCTATTAGATAGCATTGAGATATATTTCGACTAGCGCTATCATTTCACAGATCACGGGATCAAATATAGGATGAGATAATGTTTGCAACAATTCTACATAAATGTGAGTCAATACAAATTATATAATAATAATAACAATTATGTAATCTTCTTGATATCTGTAACGGCGGCCAATTTCACTAAGAGACTAACCATATACGAAGAAAATATTATAGTGGACAAGTACACGTGCAAACACAAGAGCACTCTCTCTATTCCTTCCACTCTCAAACTTTTATAGAACGGGTGACCGACAAGACCGGTGAGAGGCACAGGTGCAGCGTTATATTCTGAATTCCTGTCTGTTCCTGATAGAGAATAACCAATAACTATACTTCGCCCGACCCGGGTTTGAGATCTGCAGTCGTCGATGTTAGCCACTAAGATCTACGACGTAGTAAAACACTAAACAATATATACGAGGCAGTAATAAAGTAGGGCAAAATTGCGGTAGGGCTTGTTATGTCACTATGCTTTCTGACCCTCGCTTAAAAGTGAAATGAAAACAGCCATTAAACTAACGTAGGCAGTTGTTTTATTTAATTTTATTCCTGGGGTTAATAAAACATTTTACTATTATATTAATAGACAATTTTTATTATGGCTATACCTATATTTCGTTGCTTATTTTTTGTAAATATTAATTGTTGTCAGTATATCATTCAGGAAGAGTAGCCTAAGAATACCTAAGAAGAACTTTCCTAATATCTTAACACCGTCTTATCTTCTTAAGAAATATCTTAAATACTTGTATTAGTACTTTAGCATTTTAACATTTACTGTAGCACTATAGAAACTATATCTGACATGCACCGTATACTACAAGTTCGTTTCCTATATAGTACATTTCTATTGATAACAAAAGGTAGCCGCCAGCTTTTGTGTGAAATGTGAAAAAGTGAGTTTTAACTGAGGGTTCGTAAAAGATATTTTTAAAGATAGGTGTAGATTAAAAGATTTGCACGCAAGTGTGATTGTAAAACTGAATAGAAACGTTCCCAGATTATTGGGCATGTAGTAAGAATGAGTAACAAAATGTAAAAAAAGGATCCAATGTCCTTTTGAGACTTCAGCGGCCAATCAAATTATTAAGACTAACATTTGCGCGGGAGATATTAAAGCTCACTAGTGTACTTTCTATTACTTTCATTATTCGATTGAACGATAATTCAACACGACCAGTCAAAAATTCTCTAAAGCTCACAATGAAAAATTCTCAATTCTGAACTCATACATGACTCAACTCGAGATTTCAACTCATGATCTGAAATCCCTGACTTGATGAACAGCACAACCGATAACAACAAAAAGATAACTTTACTATGAAAATAAAGTAATGGCAGAATTTAATTATCCAAAAAATGTTTGAGACTAAGTGTTTATAAAATTAAAATATCCAAAGATCACTAAAGGAATATGTATGAAGAGAACAATGACAATGGAAGCGACAGAGGTATGCAAAAACTTTGCGCTTGTCAGTTTATAGTAACAGGCTTTTTCGCAAGAAATATAGCTTTAGGATAAGAAATGCACATATATGAATGTACATATAAAGTTAAATTTTCTTGTCTTTTATTCAAAAATAAGTTCAATTTATAATTTTGACATAATTGTAGATCAATTGTTTTCACTATTTTATGATAGTAAAATCTCTTTAGACCAGAAATACAAGAAATACATAAATAATCAAGTACATAAAATTTTGTCATCACTAATTTACTCTATCATAACAATACAAAAGAAAACCGTCCAACACTCTCACAAACTACACACATAAAGCTTAGAATAGAAAATACTTATAATAGCTATAGGATTCTATTATTATAACTTCTTCTTAATAAACAAAAGAACTATTTTTTTTTTTAATTTTACATGACACGACACTAAATCCGTCATTGGCATAATATGGCTACATATTAAATTGATTAAAAACACAATAAGGATGCAAATAAATAGTGTAAGTATAATATGTTTTGTCAGTATAATATAAATATATAAACAGTCTACTTATCTTACTTTAACTATATTTATTCTAATATAAATCCATACATACGATACCATCAGCGCCGGTGCGAGAGCACGAGTGTGCAAAGGCTTAAAAATTAAAATACATTAAACGACTAAATTGCAGTTGTTTTGTTTGTATTCATATCAAAAACAAATATAAAGGAGATTGAGCAGATTTGACCCGGTCTTGATATTGTGGCGGCCAGTGATGAAACATATTGTGAAGCTTTACTTAGTCCATATATGTAAATTATGAGTATATCTATATATAAATAGGCAAAGACAAAACAGTATAGTACATTTTTCGCCTCTGTTTGTCAATCGATTTTCTTTTTATTTTTTTTAGTAGCCATGGATGAGCTTTATTTAGTATCACCAATGAAAACATTTTGGAAAACAGTTTTTTTATATATAAATCTTATAGGTAAATTCTATTCATATACATGTTTTCCTCAAATTTTTAATTATGGTTATGGTCGAATTTCGATCAGTTTTGAAATATAACTTTTTATCAGATATTCGTTTAAAATTGACGTCCCTCCAGCAGCTTTTTTAGACGAAACTGTCATTTACGACGTCATAAATATTTTTTACTACTCAACCTATAAATTAGACGCGATTTATATTTAATTCCTACCTTTCTTCAAGACAATAATAAAAAACTCAACGATGTTCTTACACTCGGCAAACAAAGCCCAATCCCCTTTCATCATTTAAAAATAATTAATCTGACCTGTATCTACAAAAACTGACCACTAAATTTAATTCAAACAACCGCAACACAGCTGTTCCAAAACAAATTCTTACTTCAATTATAAGCGGCGCGACGAGTTGGTTATCTGTGATGCGTGTGACCGTCGTCTCGGTGAAGGTCGACTTGGTGATAGTTTCCGTGACGCGTCCGAGTGTGGAGGGGGGTGGGGGCAGCACCGGCGCGGGCGCGCGCTGCACCGTCACTCGCACGCCGGACACCGGCGACGGCGCACGCTCGTGGTGACGCTCGCCACCCAGAAAGTGCGCCGGGATCATCGCTTGGAACTCCTCGTTTGTTATCGCTCGAGACGGCTGTTTAACACGTTCATTTTCACACCACAACACTTTAGAGTTGTCAACTCGATGAAATACTTTCATTTAAATCGAGAGTCGACAACCCTAACTGACTACCTAGATTAGTATTTGATGTGTGAATTAAGAATTGACAACCCTATTTGACCTTACCTAGATTAGCATTTGATTTGTGAAAATAATAATGGTAAGTGTGAGTGGTGTGTGCGATCCGATCCCCGAAGTGACGACTGCGTTAAATATCGTATACCTTACGTTCCCGAAATATGAGCTCTATATTTCGAAAAGCAACGGTTTAGATATTCGACGTAGACATCGCGGGGTGGACGGAATGTGATGTGTGAATAGACATGTTATGGTAAAAGCTAGTATACAAGCGTATGAATTTGAACGTGTTAAAACTGTATTAATGGCCGTCACCTGTGGAATTTGTATACCGTTGGCGTAACGAGTCTTACCTGAATGTCGTCGAAAACGTCGTCGTTAGAGCTGTGTAATTTATTCGCGTCGGGAGTTAGAGGTGTGCTCGTACTGTTAGTTGCCGGTTTGGTGCCCGCCTGAAGTCAACAATTTAAATACATTACTCGAACGCTATGTACAAGCTTACTACTAAAGCTTTATCTACTGTATTACATTTGAAACAGGTATATTTGAAATACTATTTAAATAATACATTGTCAAGCATTAATAAGGAATGAAGCCTTTAAAAACTAAAGTTCAAATAAGTTAGCTTAAAAATACAAATAAAATCAACCAATTACCATCCTTAATTAAAGCGGCAGACTACGCAATGAACGAAAGACGTAACTAAGCCTTACCGTTCCGTTAACTTGACTCAGTCTCCTCGGAGCTGGTTGTGGTGCAGCTGGTGCAAAGGTTTGTGTTTGGGGTTGTGGTGGTGGTTGAGTTTGTGGTTGCAATTGCGGTTGCGGTAGTGTTTGTGGTTGTGGTTGCGATACAATATGCGTAACGCGGGGTGCAGTGTGGTTGCTTATCACCGTGGGCACGTGATTCAAGGTGGGTTTTTGTATAGCGTTCAAATTCAGTTGACTCGTCTTGTGCTCTCTCACATCGTCTGATATGGATTTCCGCTGGAGCAATTCGCCTGTAAAAATTAGTATTTACGAATTTAGTGACATAATAATTACATTTAATAAGCAAGATGAGTATGTTACAAAATAATACAAGAATTTAAAAAAAACTAGTTGTTGCTTGTGGCTTCACTAATGTGATCAATACAGCTATCGCTATTCTAATCAACACTCAAATCCCTAAAGCAGTTACAGTGACAAGAAGTAATAAAAACACACTCACTCTTTAATTAGACATCATAATTTTGTTACTTTAAAACTCAAAAATTAAATTTATAATTAATCCTATAATATACTAATATAAATTTAATATAAATCACCTTGTTGTTCAGATGTGATAGTCCGCTGTAGTACAAGCCGCACGAATCGTTCATGACCGGTGAGCAACTGGACGGCAGACTCGTGAGGTGCATTTTCCATATCGACGCCGTTGATCTGTAATAACAATACTTACTTATAAGCCAAACGGTATTATTAAAATTACATTCAATCATCGAATACGAATAAAATTGATTTGAAACCCGTACTCTTTAAGTTTACGGACATTCAGAAGAAGTGGATTCGTTCCCGAATTCTATAATGTGCATATAAATACTGTTTTCCCGCCTCCTTGACATTAAATAGCAGCTGTAGATATAATATTTGTATAATACAAAACCTAACCTACCTATGACTTATACATATTAAGTTAGATTTTTTTAATTAGATGTGAACAGTATTCTTTATAATTTATTTTAAAGCACTCACCGACACAACTTTATCCCCGACCATCATCTTGCCGTCCTTGGCGGCGGCGCCCTGCGGCGAGACGCGGGACACGTATATAGCATCGCTATCCTCCCTGTACGGCGGCGAGCCCTTGCCGCCGGCTATACTGAACCCGAGCCCCGACCCGTCGCGTATTAGCGTCGTGTGAACTAATACTTTTTGTTGATATGCTGAAATAGTAGTTCAAAATATTGGAAATCACTACATAGTATAAAACAGACGCTTTCCGCTGTCTGGCTGTCCCTATGTATGCTTAGATCTTTAAAACTACGCAACGGATTTTAATGCGGTTTCTTTAATAGACAGAGTAATTCATGAGGAAGGTTTATAATTTATATGTATAAAACATACATATAAGTACAGAATAACCGAGAAATTCAAAGATTTGTATTTCATACTAACCGTGAAAACGTACGTTTTCTTATAATAGTGACTCACTCTCGTTTGCAGCTTGCTGCTTCCCTATTATCTTTTGTATTTGTATTCATACTTAATATTGTAAATGTGAAAGTGTGTTTGTTTGTTTGTCCTTTCTCGTTGAAACAGTGACGGATTGACGTAATTTTTTGTGTGGGGGATAGTTGGAGGGCTGAAGAGTGACATAGGCTACTTTTTACCGCGGGAAATTATCTCATCCCCATGGGAAAATACGTTATAATATAACCCACAACAATTCCACCACAAACAATAAATATATATATAGTCTGCCTATTCCATAATAAACGTTCATTCCCGAGCGAAGTGAGGGTGAGCCACTAGTTATTATATACATGCAGCGGTATCTTTTACTATAATATTTTATTACTAATAGTAGCCCGTGATTTACGTCAAGTCATAGTCTATCTAATTTGATCTAAAACCCTATACACGTTTCATTGGAGGAGTAAAAAACATACACACATACAAACTTTTGCATTTTCTATAGTAGTGTGAAAATTTGTATTTGACTTACCGTACATGTTAAGAATTTACTTATTTACTAAAAACATTATTTGGCGGCATAGTCTGCTACATGACATTAGGGGAAATAGGATCTAAGAGATTAGTATTTAAAGTGAGGGGAATTAAACTTATATCATTCAAAAAACCCTATATCGTATAATAACCCTATATTGTAAAAGTGGTAAGAAACAATGTAGAAAAAAATCGTCCTAAGAGAGCAATCTCTGACAGATAAATCTGTCAGAGATTGCTCGTAGCACTAAGTAAATGGCTTTAGGAACTGAATGCACAAAAGTTGCTGTTGGTTGTGCAAAATCGATTTAAAATTATAGAATGGTATATGGTATTAACAAACAAATTATTAAACGTTTATCTGAATGTATCTTTCATTATTATCTCCCACAATATTATTAAAACTGTACCTATTATTTTATAGCTTATGAATGCGATAAGATAAAAATGCAATAATTTATTTAAAAAAATATTGATGCAATAATAGAAAAAATAATCTTTTATATTTATAATTTTATCTATAATCATTTTATAGCTTTAGCGTCCAAGATTATGGCTAACAATAAAAAAAACTATTAAAGTAAATATTTTCGATTCTATTTTGTTAGTTCACTTAAATTACAGATAGTTCTTTCTATTGGCTTTATCTTTATTAGATGAGAACAAACAAATATTATGTTTAAACGTACAACGTTACTGTACAAAACTCACAACTTTATAAATATAACTAGCGACTCATTCTCGTTTCACTGGGGTTCGCCTTTAGAAAAAACAAAAACAAATCTATCCCACGGGAACGGTACATTTTTTTGGATAAAAAGTAGCCATGTGTTATTCTGATGTATGAACCATATTATTGTAAAGTTTTATTAAAACCCATTCAGTAGTTTTTGCTTGAAAGAGTAACAAACATCTATATATCCATATCCAGATGGTATAAAATAATTTTCTTGTCGTTCTGCTTTCTCATACTTACAAATTTTTAAATTAACATGACTGTTAGAAGTAAAGTTTAAAATCGCCTTTGAAATTGATTTCAGACTTAATAAATTACTTAATTAAAGAGTATTAAAAATGAGTCAGAATAGTAAGGGATTGCTAGCAAAAAAACTTACTCGGTGGCACAAAAGGTTGGGTAACCGGGGGAGGAGAGGCTTGCAACCGCTGGTAATTTGGTTGCGTGGGCGAAGGCGAGTAGCTTTGGTTGTTGACTTGTGGCGACTCCTTATACTCCGGCTCAAACTCTTGAGCGTATTGGTTGCTGATGATGAGTGGTTTCGTTGGTATACCGCGTCCAGTTGATACCTTTTTAAAAAAAAATGCTATATTTCTTATTTCATACTTCAGTTTATTTTCAATTTAGTTTCAGACTGAATTTGATAAAATAAATATATTAAAAGTAAATTCAATTTACGCAAACAAATAAATAAAATTGCATTAAAACAACATCACAGCCGCTTACAGTGTGTCATAGTAAATTAGCATAAAATGTATCCCGATAGTTTCAATTACAATTTCTCGTCGTAAAATAAGCTGCAATCACACGAAAGGTGTTTAATTACCTGTCCATTTTCTAGTGTAGATACTGTATCTGTAGTACTCGACACAGAGTGGTGGCTCGCTCCGCTCGGCGCCCGGCTGTGCGTTCTATAAATAAGTATTGATTATATATTATAAATATACTCAATAAATAAGCTTCACGTGTTAATGCTCAGTGGCATTATAAAATGTAAATAATGTTAATATGTAAAATGATAAAACTGTCTTATATGTAATAAGAGACGACTAATCGACCTAAAAGACAATATTTCTTCCAATGTCGACACTATTATTCATCATATAAGATCATACAAAAATTCTATAGAAAAGGCACTTTCAGTTTATTCCAAATTTAATGGGTAACGATTCCAATTTTTCTCCCACAGCTTTATTTAAAGCCCTTCTCAAATGATGTGCTTATCAACGAATAGCAGTTCATTTTTATTACATAGCTATATTGCTAAATCTATTGTCTATCTAAAAGTAGTCTCTCTTTTTGCCACGATTTTTTAAGATTACAAATAAACTGGAGACTAAACATTACTTTTTTTACTTAAACTTTGTACAGATCTATACGATAAATGTCAAGACTCCTAAAAATGAAGTATTTATTAGTAATTAAAACAAAGATAATCTACTCTAATATTATGAAGAGGAAAAATTTGTATCGAATAGGCTACGAAACTACTGATCCGATTTAGATGAAATTTGGTAAGAAGATAGTTTGAAACCCTGGGAAGGACACTAGGATATTATTTATCTCGGAAATCATCCTTTATGGGGATGAAAATAGCGGTGAATATTTGTATGGGCAAGCAACTTAGGGACGAACCCGAGCGAGGTGAAGCGAGGGTGAGTCGCTAGTATAATATATGTAAATAACATACCTTGTTGAAGTTGGAGAATCTCTTGTAACAACAAGTGTAAGAGTTGGACCGCTTGCTTTAAGTACTTCAACTGCGTAATAATGATCTACATCAACCACGGATGTACCGTTAACTGAAAGAACTTTATCACCCACCTACAAAACACAAAGTTTAAAGTTTCTATTATTTTAATATCATTATAATATGAATTTTTCAATATTTCAAAGTTTTTTATAACACAAAAAATGAATGCCAATATTTATTCTAATTCTCATATTTTCTAATTCATTATGAATGCTTTCTTGCAACGGTAACTATATTGCCATTTATGGTTATACACTTTAATCGATAAATAATAGGTTTATATATACATATATTCAGAAACAGTTAAATCAAACAGTAAGTACTACTACAAATTTTATATACTAAGATGATAAAATGTTTACCCTAAGTCCAGCCAAGTACGCCGGTCCATTGGGCGTTACTCTGGATATAAAGATGCCGTCATCATCTCCGATATACGGCGTAGAGCCTCTCCCACCGGCTATGCTGAGACCAAGTCCACCAGCCGCCCGGGCTATACGTACTTCTATACATCGTTGATCGCTAACTATACGCGCTTCACTGTCCGCTCGTTCGGAAACTGATTCACCTATTAAACAAATACTTTAAATACATATCTTGATATACTCAATTAAAGAATTGCACAACATTCCAATTATATTTTTATAATAATAAATATTGCGCTCCCGATGCCTGACTAAAACATTCGAACACAATTTCTAGAAATCGAAAGCTAATAAAAAGCTTTTAATATTTAATGCAGTAGCTGTAGTAGGTAAATAAGTATTGTCTGACTTGTAACTTTCGAGGGTTTTTTTTTATTTTGGAATGTTAGCAAAAGTGAATATTACTATAACTGCACTGCCGTTAAAAATCGTTTTTTATAGAGAAAGTTTTCAAACTAAACCTTAACCATAATCCACAACAGCCGTGTAGTGATATAGATAATAAAAAAATTATACTTTAATTTGCTTCAATCCGTTATATAAAAAGTACCTATTTGTTTATAAATCTTATTTACTTGTTAAGACCTCAAGGATGAATATTTAATAAGTATAATGTATTTGTTTATACAGTATAATGTATTTGTTTATAAATCTTTATTATCCTTATATTTATAAGGATAATAAAGATTTATAAACAAATACATAATACTTATTAAATATTCATCCTTGAGGTCTTAACAAGTAAATAAACGTGAACAGTGTGTTAAATAAATGCTTATAAAACGGACGTAATAAGAACAGCATCTAACGAATAATGAGATATACATACTAATACTAAGGATATGTGAAAGACATATCATCTGTAATATGTAACAGGTAAGTTAATGTGTGATTACTTATATATATAGATAACATCAAAGAGCAAAAAATCACCAATGATAATATTGTGAGGAGTAAAACATCTTCTAATGATAAAATTATTGATCACATTATAGGGAAAGTTTAATTACACATTTTACAGCATCTACCTGTTAAAAATTCTTTAAACGATTAAGAATTCTTAATGCATATATGAAAAGAAACCGCTATAATTATTAAACAAGGTTAGACCCCTATGGTAATTGAACGTGGGCGACACGAATAGACCACTACGGGAGTAATTGTTAACTCCCGTGACAATAAAACGAACAATGCATTGCACTACATAAGCTACATGTGCAAGGTCAAAATGCCAATCGGGAACATGAGCTTATGCCATTTTGTAATGGTCACGAGCACTGTGTCCTTTTCAATAACTGGAATACTTTGTGGCCATAGTAATGAAGTAGATAAAGTGCACAATTCGAATTACTGCGATTCTAACAATACTTCGTAGATAAATCACAGTTACAATCGTTATTTCAAAAAGGCTTCAAAGCTCCATGTTCAATACAATTATAATTTCTCTTTCTCAAATCCCAATACAGACGGCGCTGAATTGAATAATAAACGAGACGACCTTTCTATAAGTTCGCACGGCATTCAGTACGACAAGATAAATGTAGCGAGGGCAGTGAAATCATGATCCAAATCGTCGTCGCATCCGCATCCTGAGTATATTACAATGGTCAATCACTTGTGATACTTTCACCCTTCCTATAAAGTAAATGGAGTAACAGAGCTTCTATTGTGTACCCAGAACCGAGTCGTGATAGTTAACAGAGGGACTCGTGACTATCGTTTATCAATTGAGTCTCATTTTAGTGGGAATGCTCTTTCTAGATATAGCAGTAATTTTACTTAAATCCTAATAATATATAAATCATAATAATAGACAGGTGAAAGTTAGCAATATGATTTAATACGTATAAAATAAAAAAATATATATGATTAGTTTCATCGGAATAAAATGCCTGTACTTATTACGTAAATTGCATAAATTAATGAATTTAATAACATTATTTCTTATTTTAATATTTATAAATTATTCATCTCTATCATCTGATGAGCACTTTTTACACGATTCCCTAGACTTTATAAAAAATAGTATTTCTTCACTGAAAAGTGCACTTTTAACGGATAACTATTCTTTACGCATTATATACATAATTACAAAGATCGATCCTATCAAAAGAAAATGATCTCTAACTCGTAAATAGAGTTCGTCGCTAACTATGCGATGAATGACACAAATAACAAGCAGGTGTTTGGATACAATTATTTTGTTTTTACACTGCATGATCTCAAGGATAACACACCTTGAGTATGTGCGCATAATACCTAAATGATGAGTCATTAGTCAATGACACAAAGTAAAAACAAACGTTTTTTTGGATATCATTTTTTCGTTACAAAATAATGTATCTATTTAAATTTATTTTATTCATTAGAAAGGGGTCCATAATAGCCCGTTTTTTCCTCTATACCTATCAATGAAGTTTTAAGAGTCAAGTTTCAACTACAATCTGCGTATTATTGCAGGTACTCGTGAAGTAAACGTTTAACACCTATTATGTAGATGGATCAAGGTTTATTTACTGCTTAAATTTTTACCGTCGTATTATATTTTTATGCTAAGTTCTTGCCATGAGATACAACTACCCATTGAAATTCAATAAAAATTGGCATGATGTTTATATAAATACATATTATGTATACCTATGCAATGATGTTTTATAATAATAAATAATAATAATAAACGCTGTTGAATGAACAAAGTTAGTAGCATAAAATTAACCCGAAAAAATTTGTTGTGATTTGAGTTTAGTTTAGTATTAAGTATTACTTTTGTCAAATTTCACTGATACCTATTCAAAAGTGACAAAGTGATATAAAAACATAAGTAAAGCACAGTAGTATTATCATTCCAAATCTATTAACTCCATATATAATTTCATTTTTGTTTGTCAAATACATTCGCCAAACATGCCAAATGATGTGAAAGATAATCAAATAAGATAGCGTAATCAAAACTATAAGAAAAAAAGACAGCTACTGTTTTCTTTGAATTATATATTTTAATTGAAATATTTAAAAAAAATCCATCGGCTTCTCCCCAAAACTATTCAGTTTTGAGATAGTAAAAAACGGGATTTTATAAATTTGACGCCTTTGTCTATCTTATATTCATATGTCCATACATAGCTAAATAGAAATATAGATAACCTAAAATGTTAAATAGAAATATAGATAACCTAAATTTAGCTATTTTTTTTCAATGTGTCTAACTCTTTAAAAGATATTCAATTCAAAAGATAAATATTGAAATTGGAATATATTTTGTTACATTTTTTAATACATACTTACGATGGCCACTTACTGTATTATATCATATTGATGAGCTGAAGTCAAATATATAGCGTGTTTAGGCTTATATTATACCATCTGTCGTATGAGTAGTTGATCATGATCAAATTCTGATATGTATTAATAATGTTAAATGCAATATTGTATGGATATTCAAAAATTTAAGTCGATAGTTTAAAAATTTTATTGCCTTTATAAACTTTAAGTTTTAAATCTCTACATTCACTGTTTAAGGATGTTTTTATTGTATATTTATTACCTAACTTAGACTCGCCCAAAGATGACCGCATCACAAACAATTCCATATAGTTTCACCTTCACACTAAAATAACAATATTACAAGCCAGGGCTGACCAAATTATCTCAATATTAGTAAGGCTTAAAGCTTTTGTTATAATATAATATGTAATTATTTTACAACATATAAGTATTAATTAGTTTTCAAGTTCATAAGGGCCAAGTATATAATACTTGTTAATGTATTAAAATAGACCTCGTTCATCATTAGGCTGTGTTGTTCTGCGGACCGCGGTTTAACCACCCCGAACTGCCGTAAAATGTGTTACATATGGCCTATTGAACAAAAGCGGCAGACCATCAACGTTATTGAATGTAATCACTATAATAATCATATAAACATAATATTATTATACTGTATATCGTGTTTAATATTTGCATAAGCAAAACGACGGAATCATTGATTTTTAATTTTATATTTTGGACAAAGAATAATTGAAAAATATAACCTTGAAGTGCAACTTGAATAAATTATTTTTAAGATATATGAGGTTTCCGTATGAAACCAATAATATAAACAAGTAACGATATTGATATTTAAAATATATATAAATAAAATATATAAACCTCTGTACGATGCACTAAGAAGAAAAATTTCTTTTAAATAACAACATTTTTAACTTACAAGTTAAGTGATTTAAGTTATATCTTAGTAAGAAGAATTCGACTTACGCTTCTTTCTTCTTATTACACCCATATTTCCACTTGAAACAGGATTTGTTTCCTGAAAAGGACCGCTTAGCTAGGCTGAATAAATGCAACTTTGTATTAAATAAGGCTTAATATCGCATAACAGTAGGATGCACTAGCTTGTTATTCTCCCTAACGCATTCCGTATCGGTCATTGTCCAATTCCATGACTAAAAGTAGTGGTAATTTATAATACTTTTTTATACTTTTTGTAAACAGAGTTGATGCAACAGATTCAAAATAAACACTAAAAATCTAACAACGTTTATAGGGACACGTGCGTACGCGCAGCCCGGGGCGCATGCGATGACGGAATGTGCTGCAACCGAGAGATGTAGAGGCTGCGGCGCCGGCGCCCGCGACCTCTCCGTTAGATTAAAAATAGAAAGTAACAACCTGGCGCATACCAGCTCCTTTAAATTTTTTACCCTCATATAAACTATAAGGTTTATTATAGATTATGTCTCATACGCAGAATCGATTATATTGATGATATCACTTTTGATTTTTTCGCACTAATTAAGTTTTTAAAGTTGTTACTTTGTCTTTTAAAGCACATTTTAAATAATTTTCAGTTTGTGTATTGTAGTATAAAGGACTAATAAGAAAATAAATTATCAATGAAATAAATGTCGCTAGATACCGTCAAATTAATTTATGAGAGGCAAGTGGATTAAGATTTCCGCTACTGTTAGCATCAATCGATTACTATTGATGCAGATAAGAAATACGATTTTAAATACGAGTTTTATATCTGGCGACACGGACATAAAATCTATATTAGACCGGAAACCCGGTGGAGAGGCGTCAGGATGTATTAAAATAATTTAGTGATGTTATTAAAGATAATAATAATAAACAAATATAATTTAGATCAGAGTAGCTAAGTAAAAAAAATACTACATGCCTATTCATATCGTGTTAACTTAATGTCGAAAATTATGGTAAGTTGGCAAGTAACAAGTGGGCTTAACAATTTGCAGCCTACAAGCTTGGGAAAATTAGAAACTTCAATCTACGTTTACCAGGATACGACTTTCAAGTAAACAGATTATTATTAAAACGCACTGGGAGATTTCCATTTGTAAATTGGCACAATCAATTATGATAACATAAAAATAATTTCAATAACTAGACTTAACATATTATGTCGGCTTTCAACAATTTAAGGACCAATAAAATTAAAACGAGGACATACGGCAATCTTAATTTCTTTTTTTCGTTTTATATCTATATATATAAAAGAAAGCCGTGTTAGTTACACTATTTATAACTCCAGAACGGCTGAACCGATTTGGCTAAAAATTGGCGGGGAGGTAGCTTAGAACCCAGAGACGGACATAGGATACTTTTTATCCCGTTCGACTGCGTTCCCGTGTGATATTGTTTGTCTGTTTGTATGTTTGTACGGGCTAATCTCCGAATCTATTGGACCGATTTAAATGGAATTTTGCATGGTGGTACCTTATATCCCCGGACAACGTCATAGATATTTTTTATCCCGGAAAATATAATGGTTCCCGTGGGATAGTTAAAAAACTATTATAACTTATACAACTTATGCACCTAATTTAGTAAAATTTAACATTCTGATACCTTATATTGCCGGTCAAACAACCGGTTACTTTACATCCGGGAAAAATGAACGGTTCCCGTGGGAACTAATAGATTTTTATTAGTGTTTTTCTAGAGGCGAAACCGAGCGAAGCGAGGGTGAGCCGCTAGTCCTACTATAAGATTAAGAGCAGATTAAAAATAAGTTAAAATTTAAATATGCATTTATGTCAATAATCTACGTACGGCACGCGACATTTTTAATGTATTCCGAAACCTGCTAACCTTCTCTTTACGAATTCGATCTTAAGAGGACGATTTTACGGCTGTGAGTATTTATTTTATACGGTTCACATAACGGCTATGATGATGCAGCTAGAAAAGATTTTTGCTCAAACGAGGATACTCTAAACGTTTCGTAGGTGGACGTGATACGGAAACTACAGTAAGCCGTATATTTTCGAATTTATTGCAACTTAAATAAATGCAACATATATCTACCGTTATACGCATATTTTACTTACGAAATCCATACATATGTATGTAGATATAGGTAAATTTTCTGACTGGAATGAATTTTATAAATGGTGTAAATTACAACTCTGTTAAATCTTGTTTTGAGATTCTTAACATAACCACATGCACATTGAACCACTCAATAAATTAATATTATCGATATACATACATAAATTAAAAGTACAATATAAAATGAATTTTCTAGAATAGTGGACGTATTAATTGGATATCATATTGTGGACGCGCTTCACTAGTTCATTTCACAGGTTCACTTTCAAGATCTATGGCCGCAGCGCGAATGTTAAACCACAACGTACCAAGTCTACCCTCTTTTGTTTAATTCCAAGTTTAATGCGGTTTTACTACTCGCTGTCTAAATTCATAATAAGAGAAACTCGAGCTAGGGCATAGGATTATTACCACGAGATTGATTTAGACTGTCGGAATAAATGAGAAGAGAAAGGTTTACTTGCAGGCACAAAAGGTAAGGTGAATGTATCTGTTTGTTATAGATTACTTCCTACAGATAAAAAGCCGACTTGCAAGTGATAAATTAAAAAGAAAAACATGACTCTGACTTAGGTCATGTGAAATATGTATTTGAAAATAAACATTGATGTATATTATTATAATAACATCTAAAGTATACAAATTCAAAACAAGACATTTACAAATTGTTTCGAAAGTAATACTCGGTAATTTCTGCTCATAACATACGAATGATTGACAGGGCTCTAATGTGGCTAACAAAACACTCTTGCTGTATACCTAATTGCTTATGGGAAAAACTTACTAAAAATACGACACTCAGAATAAAGTGAAGTTAATATTATAAACACTCACTTTTTGTTCTGTATTATATCTGTTTCTTTTGCAAAGTGGACCCAAAAGCAAAACCTGACTGGAAATTAAAACACAATATAACGTTATTTCAACCCCAGAATACTGATCGTGTCCGTTTAATTTTATACCTTGTAATCGGACTTCGGGCTCACGAATTATATAAAATACACCTTCCTCAGTACATCCGTTATATTTATTATTTTCTAACTGAGGTGGACTTAGTTCGTGGATAGAACTTTCTATCAGATAAAGGTGAGTGTCGATATAATATTTTAGAACGAAATAGTTTTATATTATTTTTCCGTTATATATATAAGATTCGAGATTACAGAATATAAGCAAAATTTTATCTATTTAAAAGACGTATTCAGTAGAATGGTGGGTATTTAATTGAATGAAAAGGAAATATCGTATTTTCAACAGACTGAGATAAATAGTCCTAACATGCTAAAACTCTACTTTTCACTTGATAAAAAACAAATATGTACGATATAATACTAACAAAATATAAATATAATTTAAGGTGACATTTAGTAACTCGTGTCTTAAAGCGAGTTTGTTAGACACTTAAAAGACAATAAAATAAAAATGATAAAAATTTAACAACGGTATCTCCAGTCATGAATATTAACTAAATTCCAATAAAATGCAGGTGACACGCTTTTTATGCCGAAATGATTACGTCATTTATTCTACACTAGTGGAAATTTCAAACTAAAACTACATATACATATTTTGAAACTTAAAATAAAAATAAAATGACATTGGGTTCACAGGAAGGAAATTACCAGCAAAATAAATAAACGCCGAATTTGACCTCAAGAAGACGTGCACAGAACAAGCCTTACTTGCTTTGAAGGTGAACTCCATAATCGAACACATGATACCGCGGACTATCGACTTCGTAACGGCCATTGTGGCGCAAAATGCAAATTTTTTATCCACTGTGAAGAGAAATTTCTACGTAGGTATGTAACGAGAGGCTTATAAAGAACTGTGAGCAAATAAGGTACGCCACCTGACGCCTGTGCGGTTCATTAGACCGCACCAGTAAACTCGGGAGGCTCCTGCTATTGTTGTCCGTCCCCTGGGAGCACATAGCTCGCCCTACATGCGCATACACGCATAAATATTAACGAGAAACTGTGATCGAGAATTTGATTAGAACCCTAAAAAACATATTTAATAGCTGTAAATGAAATCTATGATTTTAAATTACCATTTAGTTTTTAATGATTACGACATTGTATATAGATTTATTTCGATCTTATCTATGGATAGTCATGATGTCCAACAGCAGCTGAAAGTAGAAATTTCTAGGATATAACTAATATACTACAAGTTGATGTCGATAGTTTCTATTCAAAGCAGCTTTCTATGGCCAATTTCTCTAAGTAAATGTCAGATAACCTAACCCATTTGCAACAACATCCCTATTACTGTTTACTATGGTTAATCATTTATTTATTATGAAATGCAAAACTGCATAATTAGTTAACTAATAATGTGATTCTGGTCTTATTTTATTAGAAAGATCAGTCACTGTACAAAAACACAATTTTATTTAATTAAAAAATAAAATACAAAAAAAAACTAATTTTACGTAAAATTATTCGATTATGCATGGAATAGCTTACAGTTATTATTATATTGGTAATGTTTTATAAAAATACTTGAAACGTACCATAACCAAAAACAGTTGGTTCATTTTCGCTTATCCTTACTCTTCTTAAAGATCTATCCGGCAGCGTATAATATGTCGGATTCGATATGCTCTCTGATCGATAATATTGTACGTTACGGGGTAGAGTTCCGTATATTTGATTTGCTGGGCTCGCATACACTGGTTCATAACGAGAGACGACAATTTGTCTTGACCCTTGTCGAACTGGATCTGAATACTGTACATATGGTCCAGATGGAGAAGTTGTGCGATAATATTTATTTTGTCTTTCATCGTATTGATTTAAATTTTGGAGACTCTGCGCTGGATATTCATATTGGACAGGCTGCCGCCGATATTTATCAGGTATATCAAAATGTCTAGACTGAGGTGAATTAAAACGGTCTATTGCAAATATTTCACTCACAGGTAAATTGGAGCTACTATTACTCAAATTACTGCGGTTACTTCTCGTGCTGCTCCGTAGACCATTCCGACTCAACGAACCATCACCACGTACACTTAACTTCAATTCGAGTCTTTTGTCTCTCATAATTCCTTACTTTGCAGCTCACTTGTTATTTATTTATATATTTAAAAACTTCATATTATCTACACATGAATTTCATAAAAACCCATATTTAAGCTAATTTGTTTCAGATTATGTTGCTTTATTACCTCTAATATACCCGGCAAAGAAAGTAAGACATATACTCAATTACCTTTATGTAAGATGACTAATGACTATAGTTACATTAGTAAATGACCACAAGACTAAGAACAAGCTCGATTTTGTCGGACGTGAAAAAGATTAGTTTGTTCGAAACATCCAGAATAGATTCTTTAACAAAAGATACTATCAATTCACTTTAGCTGGTGGGGAGTTAAAGCCGTGCGTACATGAGAATATTATTTTCGGCTATTTTACTTGTCACAATTTTAAAAATAATATTTTGATTACTTTAAAAGTATAATACTTTCTTAGATTTACGCGCATATTTGACATTTTTAATTAAAACTATCTTTTCGGATTATTTCGCGGATTATTTTGATATTTGGTTCCCGATGTTTCGAATGCTTTATAGCAATCATGGTCACGGGAGAGACTAAGGTTATATCCGTGTCAAAGGCATTATACACTTGTTACAGACAGTGGCTACCCACTATTTTACAAAAATAGTTTTTATAAAAATATAGTTTTATTTAAAATACTTTAAAAGTGTTTATTAAAGTGCCTTCTGTTCTAAGACACGAACACAAAATGATTCCTGGGCACTAATAGAATCAACTTCGAGTTAATATTTATTAATAGTCGATGATAAGATAACGTCAGTTCAATAACATATTATGTTATGCAGGTTTACACAAATAACGCGATACCTACATAATTCTATTACATTTCCTCTACTGTATGATAAAAAATTATCTTAAAAACCTTAAAAAATCCTATTTGTCGTTTCAAACAGTTTATAGCGTAATATTTTCAATATTCTAACACTTCAGGTAATGCTATAATAATAATCTATAATAAATGATGATAGTAGGTAAGTACATGAAAATCATTTATTTTCTGAGCATTAAGCTATTTTTTAAAAACAATATTGATTAATGAAACTAATACAATTATCAGATATGTATATTAGATATTATCTCCAAAACCAAGGAATTCCTAACGTTATTTTAATCTAACAATGATCATAACTCAATATCGAGTCATCATGAAAAAATGTTATCTATTGATTTTATTGTTATCTATAAAAGGGCGCGGTAAATCTAATATAGGTAATCCTCTTAAAATCATTGTTTAACTTTTGTATAAACACCTACGTTTTTAACAATAAATATTTTTTCTATATAACACACTAGTGGAACTGTGAGAGTGGATAAGAAAGTAGAAAAATACAAATATACTTTAAAATAAAAATTGTCTATTATTAAAAATACAAAATTGATTTTGTATCGTAGAATATAAACAAATTATTCTCACAGGAAGGAAATATGAGGCTATAACACAGAGAAAGTACGCACTTGAATCAATTATAGGGTGTATGAAGCAACGATTGAAAAGTGAAATAAATCACGACTTCGGACTTTCATGTAAGAGTACAATAACAATATAGTAAATAGTATAAGCAAGTCACATGATGTGTTTACAAGGAACGACAGTAATGTAACAATATCAAGATTTGACCTTCAAATCAAATAGAGCTTGAGTAAGTGCGATGTTTCGAACAAACATAATAAAGTATGTATGTGTATAACACACATTTACTAGTCAAGAAATAATTACCGAAGGGTAGTAGTAAGGATATTATTTCGATAGAATATTAAACATTTAGCCACTATCCATGTGCCATAGGTGTCCTGAGTGTATTAAAATTAATGAAAAAATATATCACATGAATGTTTCACATTAACACTTAAAATTCACTGAAATAACCTAGTATCATATGCAAAATAAAAAATATATTAAAAATATACTACACGAAATGAAAATAAGATCGCCCGCCTTCACATCACTGAAGAAATTGAACACAGATAATAATTTCTATTGCATATTTTACACGTCGCGTCACGCTCTATACGACTTAATATGTAATTATTGGGGTTTTATTCTCTTATTACTGAATTCGGTGCAAACTGTACACAGGTGATGGAAACACTGGGTATACGTTGCAAAATGGCACGTCGAGTGCGCTAGATAAGCTGATAACGTAGCGATACTGATTATACAACTAAGTACAAACATTGCGTACAACGGAATTCATTGTGATTTTTTTGATACAAAAAATAATAGCCGTTCAAAGTTTTTGCTATGAATCAGTACTATAGGATCAATGATCCACAATTAAATATTGTTACGATAGAGAATTTTATTGTCAGTTTTTATTGTGCTTTTTACAATAGTAAAATATAAATGAAATATTTTCAGTTTCTTATAGCATTTGTAATGTAGCTAGCGTGTAAGAGGTTTCTAAAGGTCTCTTGTATTGGTCTGCCATGTGATATGGAAGAATAAAGTTGGTATAAAAACTAAAGGTGACGGGATTCTTGCAATGAACTTGCGCTAGTGACTGACGGGTTTGAAGCGATGTTCGTGATCATTACGGGCGAATGTGGTCACGATCGCGTGAAACAATGTCGCAACTGCTGTCTAAAGGCGCATTTAGACCAAAACAGAAACAAAGAGAGACGGGATGTAGGGATTTCTTATTCTATATAATAATACAAAAAATAGTAATAAACTCATTCAAAGAACTCCCATGATAACTATAAGTAAGTTTTATGTGATTTTTGACGTGCCAAAATAATATAATTTAAATGTGAAGTTTTAAAGTGTAAACACAGCACAAATAACCGCATCGTGCACTTTGTCACCATATCTTGCAATCGTATTCAGGTACTTTAGTTAAAGGTCTGTTGTGTAATATGAGAAAGTTCCAATCTAATTTATGGACATAGCAAACAAAGTATGCCTTTTCCGTTATGCTAAAGGTTTTCGAGCGTAAAACTATATCCGCTGTTAAAACATGCACTATAATGTAAAATGTATCGAATGTAAATATCGAACTTACCGTCAGGAGCGTCTTCTGTAGCTTCGTCATCTGTTTTGTGTTCGTGTAGCTCTTGCTTTTTAATCACCTGCAAGAAAAATGTTGTTTAAATGTTGTTCCATTCTTCTTCAAAACAAGTATTAATCAACAGAAAAAACTATTTGCAAATGATAACTATTAAAATTATAACGAAGCATAAAAAGTAAACAAAAATGTCGTTTGCTTCAGAAGTAAACATTGATAAGATAACAGCTAAGTAGGTATAAGAATTAAAAATTGCATGTTCATGTTATTACAAAACAAGCGAGACAAGCCAAATATGTGCATTCGAATCTAAATTGAAATCTTGCTCTGAATGTCTTTATCGTATAAACTGATCTCACCCGGGCGAGCCATCCACCCGCAGCTTTCAAGCACCTCATTTTATTACTAAGTACCGGTGAATGCCACTAAGGGAAACAGTAAATTCTATTTCATTGTCGATCAATCACTGGGGAAAGTTCACTTCACTCATCGGTTAATTAAAGTAAATGTAACATTATTAGGAGACGTGCGGTGCGAGACAGTCATTTCTGCGAGCCTCTCAGAGGGTCTACTGTGAGCGTTTTGGTCGAGGGCCCGCGAGCAGCAGCCCGTAACAGCCACAGTATTCCAACAATTACCCACGCTCGAGTCGTGCTTACAGAAACGGAGCGATTCACCGGCAGATTTATTGCTTATTAACACACTTGCCTACTTTTAACCCAGTTTTTCATTAAATTTGGAAACATTAAAAAATGATAAGAAAGTATTGGTCCGGCCGTAACCAAGAGAGGATGTTTTTTGTGAGTAAATTCTTAACAGTGTGCAAATAGACGCATAACGTGTGAGATGCTGCTAAACAAAGGTCTCACGAAGCCATTGTTTCATTTTTCACTCAGAATAAGAAATTCTAACGTGACCGTAACGTCAGCTTGCTCTCCCACGAGACAACCAACATAGCTACGCCGGTAAACTGAGCGAGCATCAAGATTAAAACGCATATACGCACTACTTCACGAGCACCGCTCTTGTCATAATAATTAGCTAGCTGAGATTATAAATCAACGGAACTCTTGGTATTTTTCTAGAATTTATACAAATATTACAATAGAGCAATATTTCCTTATATTCTATACACAGTTTTGACATTATACTAAGTAAGACATTTAATCATTAATACTGAAACGTAAGTTACTCATTTGACGATCCTCAACGAGCGAAACCAAGGTGAACATTTGTTTTAATTTTATTACATAATGAATATATGCAAAAGCAAGTTACACAAAGAAAGACAACAAAAAAACTCAATTCCCACAGATCACACAGACAATCATGCGGTTTATTCATGATAATAATGTAACGGTAAACAATAAGCGAAAGTAATGGCCTTATATCTCATATTAATTTTAAGAACTTCACTTTCCATGTTGTATACCACGGTACACTCTGGCAGCGAACATTTAAATATTTTTTATATTAAGAGCGATGGAGTTCTTTATTTGTTTATTCGTACGAGAAGGTAACAAGATTTTTGAGAGTACCTTTTAGTAACTTAACATGATTTAAATAATATGAACATGCTGACTAAGCGTTTTTATGAGTAAAAGTAGAATCACGTATTACGAAACATAGTATATGGAAATTAACGTTTATTAAATGTTTAAAAATTTCAATATCTCAGTGAGATTTAAACTGAGTTTCTATTTTTAATTGGACTTGTGGCCATATAAGTTTTACTTAAAAATATTTTATGTTTATTATTTTTTTAAATTGCTTTATAAACGTAAAAGGCGATATTTATTGGCAGTATCTATCTCTTGCAATATAAAAGAAAACGGGTAGCCAAACATTAAAGATTCAACATAATTTTATTAATTATTTATGATTATGATACTATGATAAACTGGTTTTATTATTAACTTGAAAATATTTACTTTTTATTAAAAGAAATAATAATAAAAAAATATAGCATAAGTACGTACATTTTAACAACTGTAATGAAAAACAAAAAAAAAACGAGAATAAACAAACAACGCGAGATTAAAACCATAAGCATTCTTGTATAACTAAATGTAAATACTTGCATATGAAATCAATATCCATGTACCAATACAATTATTTACTAGAATATATAACATGTATGTATGTGCGTGAAAATAACTTCTATGTTTTACGTAAAAGGTTTAATTTAAAAAAAATATTATAATTTCGCCACAACTTAGTTTGTATCGCTTAAATTGTTGCGTTTACATCTAGGTACATAAAACCCTAATAGCATCCAAATTAGACGTAATATTCTAGTGTCGAAACTCGAATGAACACAAGTAGCGAATGCAATAATACCGAAATCAATTATTCTGTTCATAAATTGAGCTATATTTGACAACTTGCTTGATTGAATTTGGTACTGAAATACTGCGAGATTCAAATAATTGGCACCAATATTTTTCCGGTAACTAGTCATGAGCTATATTAAGATAACCAGTTATCCCGTGGCCATTTTACTACTATAGCAAAACTGAAATTCACTTCCAGAATGGCATTCACGATATGATGTTGACGGCCCAGTGGTCACTACCACGAAAATATCCGTTTTAGACATGCAGCTTCATAAAAAGTATTAATCAGATAGGAATCAGCTCGTCGAAAATGATGCGTTCGTTTATTTGTTTGTTTGTATGTATGTATGTATGTATGTATGTGTTGCGGGTTCGATCCTCGCGCAAGAGAAATTATATGAATTGCCTATGAATATATATTTCTTGGTGTTTGAGTATTAGAATAAGTGTCATGTGCATAGACTTATATTGTTTTTACCTCTAGTGTAAATTGAACGCAGGAAAAAATACAAAGATAACTAAACCTAACCCTTCTGCTTCAGCCGTACACAAACAGCAGTGATTTATACAATCATGAGTGCACGAGAAATGTATTTGGTACTCGGTAGTCATGGCAACGCATAAATAAACAAATCACGAACACATGACCGTGTATGTACATATGCTTAGACGCGGTAGGGCGTATCTATCAATTTAAAATTTTACTTGTTATGTATTTCCCAACCCCAAGCACAGATTACTAATCATAGTAGGGGTGCGAAATTAGTGAATTATTACAATTGTGTATTTAATATTAACTAGCGATTCACCCTCGCTTCGCTCGGGTTCGTCCCTAGATACGTTTTAACGGTTATTATGAAATACAAATCTTTGAATTTCTCGGCTTTTCTGTATTATAATATGCATGTATTATACATATAAACCTTCCTTTTGAATCACTCTATCTATTTAAAAAACCACATCAAAATCCGTTGCGTAGTTTTACAGATCTAAGCATACATAGGGACAGACAGACAGCGGGAAGCGACTTTGTTTTATACTATGTAGTGATAACTAATAATTATTCATTTTAAATATTTAAGAAACCTTTAAAAATTTATGCATTTAAATGAAACATTTGCAATGTATTGAATTTTAAAAACATCATTTATAGACCGATTTTACTTTGTGTATTTCAAGGTATGTATTATAATTAAATAATATCAAGAAGTAAACGCTACATGTAATGCAGTATCTTCATTACTTATATATAACAAGCATATTAAAATAAATAGTTTCAAATAAATATGTTATAACTAGATCACATGGCCTACACATTAAATTAAAAAAGAATCAGATACTTTTAATGATTGGAGCTAGTGATCATGATAGCAGTACACATAGATTAACTACACAAACTCAACATTTAAAATAAACATGCAACATATATGTACCTATCATTACATTGCAATTAGTATTTTAAGAAATATAGCTTTTACTAAGTTCAATCCATAATACAATAAAACAATACAAATCACAAATGCACAGAATTAGATGAACAATATATCATAATATTTGGCAGTTAGTAGGTACACTAAGAGACATAGCGTTTGTTGAGTTCAATACATAACACAATACATATTACAAAAGCACAGAGCATAAGATATGAACATATTACAAAAGCACCTGAGCTATAATACGCTCCGCTCGTCCAGGGTCCATCTGGTTGATGCGTTTGTTCTTCAGATGGTGGGGCGTGTCGCGGCGGTGCAGGCGGCCGGTGCGCTCGTGCGTGCCCACGCCCACCCAAGCCACGCGGCGGCCCTCGCGCTACCACCACCCCGGATTGTTTTCGTTATTATAATGTCCATTTGTTTGTATTTAACAAAAAAAACAAATCCACGGGAACTCTTTAGTTTTCCGAGATGAAAAGTATCTAAAATGTTGACCATACCACCATGCAAAATTTCATTTAAATCGGTCCAACAGTTTCGGAGATTAGCTCGTTCAAACGAACAAACAGACAGAGAAACAAAAAATGTGAAAAATCTAATACATGATTCCCAAGGCGTGTTCTATTACATTAGCTAGGCTATTTATCATTAATTTTACTATTAACCTTATTCTGTCAAAAATTATGAACAGTGATTACATCTAACTATATTATAGATGTAGATATTTAATATAATAAATTGACCGTTCAAAAGTGCTTGTATAAGTCTTATTTAATAAAGTTCATTTTCATGTATTTTCTTTGGTTATTTTCGAACGTTGGAAATCAACTAAACACAGTATTGCTTACTAAACAAATAAGTGCAGTTCTAATTCTATATTGTGTATTTGGATACTTTATTTAAACCTTTAAAAGTATAACTTTTGCAAAACTATACAACATTGGATAATTGCAAACAAATGGACATATAATAGAGCATTGTTAGTTTTCAATTTAGTAGATACATAAGTTTAATTATTTAGAATATATACCTACTGGATAATATAATAAACAATATTCCTTCACCAAAAACTCCAGTTACGATAATTTTCTATGAAATTAATACCTCAATGCATGTTTCCTATAATATAAGGTCTAAAAGTAAAGTATTACAACAAATACATTTAGATATTAATTCTAGATCATAATACTAATTTTAAAGTTAGTTATTTCCTTATAATTCATATTATCAATTCTTAAAACCATTTAAACAAAAAACCCTTTAACATATAATGAAAAAATCCTTACAAGCTTAAATTATATATGTATAAATAACGTACCTCTAATTCATCAGAATCATCGTCGTCGTTTTCTGCCTCAGAAGATTCTTTGTCTTGCACTTGACTGTCACTTTCATCATCGTTTGTTTCAGGTAGCACTTGTTGTTGGGACGGCTGAAAAATATAAGTTATTAAAAAATTTTGTCATCATAGCGGCTTAACTTAGCTTCGCACGTGGCCCCTACAACGTGCGTTCATCTTGTCGCGGTAGTGGGTCTCAGTAGTGCCCGGCAATCCAGCCGGGCGCAAAGCCAAGAAACGCACAGGGAGGTGGTCCACCTCGTGGGCGGTGTACCATGCGGGTTGCTCCTGGTACTTCTCTGATACCAGAGTGGACTGTGGAGCAACCCCATGGTTATTGTGGTCTGCTTCGGCGGACCTGCCGTCGCGGCATCGTAGTCGAGTGCGTAAGCGATCCTACGACGCCCAATTAAGATGGGGGAGGTTTTATTGGGTTTTAGAGGGTAGTACTGACTTTGCCGATGAGTCCCACACCTCGTGCCTAAATGCATTTCCCAACGTTAAAAAAAAGCTTCTCTCATGTGCCTAGGACTAAGGAGTCCTATGGCTTTATCCAAGTTATGGTCTATCTGTATGTATGTATGTGTTCAGCCCTTTTTAAGGTACTACTGCTGGGCACGGGCCTCCCTTCAGTACAGGGGGAACCAGGCCATATGTATCATCTATCTGTGTACTAAATTTTCATCTAAATCGTCCAGCTCTTTCAGGTGAAAGAGTAACAAGCACACACACAAATAAAATTTCGCAATTACAATATTACTCTGGCGGATCATGAATATCAAGCTTTCAAGCAAATAAGAAAATTGAATTGATCATGTCTATAATTTTTTATTAATGTCAAATTCTTTTGTTGTGTTGACTTAGCAACAAGTTCTTGAGTGTTACAATATTATATATCATTAAACTAAAAAGAACTTAAATATTCTGAGCAAAGCTGCATAGACTTTAATATAAAAAAAAAAACAAAAAGTATCCCATGACTATCTTATCACAAAAACAATAAATTTGTCTATCTTTACTCACTTCCACTAGTTCAGGCGGTTGTACAGTTTCTGGCGGTGACAAAACCATGCCATTAGTTGTTGGTGCTTCGTTTATTTTCTCTTGCGGCTGTTGTTCAGGCGTTCGAGTAAACAACTTGACTGCCTTTGCCTTAAGTTCTTTGGGATGCGGTGTGTTTTGACGAACGAATGGCGTCTGAAATGCAAAAAAATCTGTAAAATTTGATTTCATATCTATCCACGCCTGCTAATAAAAAATTAATAAAAAACTGCAGATAAATTACATGCACATGCTCGTTTTATTTGACAAAATAGAAGAAAAATCAGTTAGTGGGATAAAAAACCTGATATCTGGTATGGAGTGTACTTGGTATAGAATATAATTAAACAAGTCAACTCTGAGGTTAGCTGTTTAATCTATTAGTAAGCCGCAAAAATATTTGCGACTACTTATAATTAAGCGGGTTCTGACATTTGTTTTATCGATTTATAAGCAAAACCTAAATATTCAATAAAACAGTGAAAGCCTTCTAATGTATACGATATGAATATGGTTTGCAAATATTGTTAAAGTACAAAAAGGTTTTTTTGTTTTCTTTCATTTAAAAAAATGATTTGTTCAAAATTCTAGTTTAATGTGAATAAACATAATTGTTATTGATGATAACATCACCTGTGTTAATATTGTCACATTATATGTATTTTTAAATATATTTTCAAGCGTTAATTTTGAGACTTTATGACATTACGAAATTCTTGTCTCTAGATTTTGATAAAATTAAAATTAATCAAAATAATTGTTACTTTAGGAACTCGAACTCTCGCGCTGAATCCTAATGCAACGAATATCAAAAATTATAATAGACGTTTGACCTATTAAACACATCATTAAAAAGGCTATACACGACGTGAATCACAGGATATGATATCACACGCCACTTCACCTCAGTGGCAAAACGACGTGCCTCGAGAATCCAGAGTAATCCATCATAAGTGCAGTGCAAATAGTGCTATGTGTTCTAGAAAATGTATGTACATTGTACAGTAAAAACTGTTTCGAAATTTGACTAAAGTGCCCAAGTTATTTGTAAAGGACAATTTAATAGTTGTGTGCTTTTTGTATCCTATACAAAATTATATTTTCCTTTATGTTCAGCATGCGATAATTTGTGGTGACAGTTATAGCAAAAAATATGGATTAAACAGCAACTTATAGTACCGAAATAATTTAAAAAATTGTAAAATATGAGTTGGGACTAATTTAATGACGCCTTAATTAAATGAAATACTAGGCTAGTGTTATCTAAGTAGTATAATTGAATCTAGATATAACTTGTTCTACTCGCAGCGATAAAACATCTAAAACCTTGATAAAACAAAGGACCAAAGAGGCTTAGAGGAGGCAGCAAATAGAGCGTAACTGGAGCGCAATCACTGAATCTTTCGTTAGTTAAATAAAAAATTATCATAAGCAACACCCTTATTTCTTCTAGAATATTATACCATATTCGATTATACAATAGCATTTTAGATTGCATGAGCATTATAAAAGTATTATGTTCTGATAAAAAGTAAGATTTGTTTATCGTTAAACAAAACCACAGTTTTTGATTTAGTTCAAATATGATTGCACTCCATTCGCAATGTACCTCAGCGAGGTTAGTAATAGAGGAAGAGAGCCTCTGCAGGGACGTTCTTCTTTGTGCTGTAACTAGCTTGCGCACTACATCTAATGGCCTCCTGAATCCTAGAATTTGTGCGCCGAAGAACGAATCTGACGTCGAATCCTCATTTTCCTCCTGTATCGACGTCACCTTGAATATAATTAAGGACTAAGATGCTAACTCAAATTTCTTTAGGGAACATGATCACTAAATAAAATATAAATGTCGTGCCATTAAGATGCTGTTTTTTGCTTGAATTTCCTATTAATAAATTTTAAGAGTTAGCCGTTAACAACATATTTAGTCCATGAAACCTCATCGCTGTTGTTTATATTTAAGCGAGCACATCTAACCTAATACATCTAAAAATTGTTTAAAATAAAAATTCCTAACCTAAATATAAGCATACCGATTGACGATCGCAACAATAGCTATACTAACATCGCTCAGAAAATTTAATTTATAAGCATATTTTCTGTTTCAGACAAGGCGTAGGAGGATCATCCGTTAGAATTGCGTATCTTCACATCATATTAGTTTAAAGTCGACGTGAAATATAATATTTATTTTCGTATTGTTTCATTTTTCCTATTTCCTATTTCCCTCGACATAACTGTGTTATTATATAAAATGATATATGTATGTACATATATTTAGATCCATTAACATAACACTGTAAAAGAATTCGTACATGACCACTTATATCGTTTATCTACTAAAGCAAAAGTGAGATCATGGTTTTTATCTAAGCTTAATGCAGAGATAGCGTGTAATATATTGTGGTCGAGATAACAAGAGGCATTAATGCGAACATGTTGCAATACTAAACTAAGAAACCATTGGTACATAGAAATATAATATAAAATCATCAATCCTCATTTTTAAACAATCAACTTCAAATTTTTAGTTAAATATTAAAATTATTACCAATCTAAAAGTACAATAAATAAGGCAATTATTATGTGAAATATTGTGATATAATACAATTGTAACATTACTTTACCACCAAGCGATTAAAATGTAACAAATACAATTACCATTAAAATTATTGATTGCATTGCGATTAAATTTGACATGCGATAAAAATAAAACATAAAACAATATTTTTTCATTTTATTACTATATAATAAATATATAATTAATAATTAATTATGTTAGCTTACAATATACAGTGTACACGTGATATAAGCTTTAAATGAAAATGAAATATAATACATAGCCTTTCATAAACTCCAAATGCTATACAAATACAGTATACAATAATGCTATAATACTGTTTTATTCTAACGCTACAAGTATTGAACTGAGCGCTAAATACGTCCTCTGCCTAGTGCGTATACCAAGAACATTTCTAAACCAACGTCTCAACTCCCTACATCTGTACCTAGTATTTGTACAAATATTGCAACGTAATGGATTATATTCGAGCGTTCTGGAAGCCTTAAAACAAGATTTTCCCTTAAAAGTAAATGGACAACAGCATAGGCTCACCTCTCTTTCAATTGGCGGTTCTTCAGTGAATTTCACCGATATCGTTCTAGATTGTTCCTTTATTTCCCAATCGTCATCAGAATCCCGATCACGTGACAAAGTTGACTCTGTTAAGCATATATTAGAATTATTTCTCGTTTCAAAATTAAAGGATATATAATATTTAAATTGATTGGTTGAGGCGATACAACATTGCAAGTAGAGCGGACGACACAACACATACATAAATGCACACCAAAATATATAACACAGTGACACTAAAACGGGGTAAATAATTTATACGAGTATATATAATGAAAAATAAAACACGCTACTATTACTTCTTATAAAATATCAGCTAAAAGTAAACTTTTATATTAAACTATTGAATAACTTATGATATAAATAGTGTATCTAGAGAAAAAAAAGTGTAAAGTGTGAAAGCAGCTTTATGTGTATTCTAATAGAAAATCTAATTGTAATATAAATTGAAATAGTTTGACGTAAGGCACCAAAACTCACCTCTTATCCTATCAAGCTCTTGTGACTGTGAATTAAATCTGTGTTCCCTGAACCACGTGCCACTGCCGACCTCTGACGTATGTTCCAACTCTATTTGTTGTGTGACAAGTGGCAAAAGTGACTTTTAGTATATATACACAGCAAAAACAAAAACAAAACGGCCAATGACTATTTAGTAACAGTATGTTTTCAGTATTTATAAGAATAAACAATATTTATGTAATAGATAGTGATTGCAGCTGTTTATTTTATTAATATGGAAATCTTTAAATCTCGCAAAAAATCATAACAAATAACAGAATTAAAGAATAATCCGCAATAAAAAAAATTACTATATTATAAAAACAAACATTAGTATCTAATTAGAAATGTAAATGTTTCTTTAAATATCATCTACTTAAATACATATTTTAAAAAACACATAAATCAAAAATTAAAATATCAAAATTAACACTTTCCACATTCCTAAAATACTAATTAAATAGTCACTGACCCATTGCATAATTAAAATAGAAGCACAAAAAGCAATGCGAAGGACCCCACAAATACAGTCACAATTCAAGGTACATATTCACCCATGTACAAGACACGTACAAAATGATACCAATATACTATCTTAGGACCCTTCTTGATATTATTACTTATAAAGATAAAACTAGAGGTGAAACTTCAAAAAAAATTCTACTAAGTGTACTTAAAACTTTTGAGCACAGAGACACGCAATTAATTAAAATTATAATACATCTTGTTTAGATGAAAAATTATAATTGTTCTATGTATACATTGCTTACATAACGTTACAAATGTTATGTAAGCGTAGTACTCATAGAACAATGTAAGTAAGCATGTTTTTTTACAAATCTCTGTACTTTAAGCGAATGAACAGTGAAAGCTAATCACTAAGAAGCTAAATTCAAAAATATATGATGATGCTAGTATTAACTGTTCATAAAACTTATTTATTATGAAACACCATCATAATATTTGAATATTTGGCACCAAAAAGCGAAACCATAGTAGCATTTAAGTGTAATCGTCACATACCTGGTTGTTGCGTGTAACTAAGCTGAGGTAGGAGGAAGCACGTGAGAACATTTTCTCCGGTAGTTTCATCCCGGTCCGTTTGGAAGGTTAATAGAGGTTGCGCTTGGTTCTCTGACAGCCATACAGCTTTTAACTCTAAATTAACGAGCGTATATGGCAGATATTGTAACCTGAAATTTTTTAGTATTATTAATATCAACGATAATTGTCCTATTTTTTTAATATCCAAATAAAGTCCATGGTGTGGATGTAGGAGAATACTTTGATAATTTAAAGTACAACTTTCAAGATTTTAATTGTACAAAATTACATTTAATAATCAAGTAGAATTTTTACTCATGAATATTAAATTTATTTATTCATTATTTCAATCAATATATGCACAATTTAGACATTACAGAAACCACTAACTGCTGAAATATTTCGAACACTTAAACAGTTACAAGCAAGTTGAGAGGCAATAACACATATTTAGAAACTAGCATAAGCTAAAATCAAAACACAAGTTCGACGTACCTATTTCCACTAACATCCAAAACATGCAGAGATTTACAGTTGCCAAGCTCGTTGGGTAATTTTGTTAATTTGTTGTCCCGCAAACTCAAAACTCCCAGTAACGTCATATTGCCAATCTCTAGTGGAATTTCACCTAAAGAATTTCTATCTACATTCAGTACCGTCAATTCATTTAGGTTACCTATCGACTTGGGCAGTTCCATTAAAAAATTCTCTGTTAATATTAGCTCCTGAAGATTTGTACACCTGCAAAATTAAAAATAATAGTAATTTCATTTGGTAAATTTCATTTTTAGCAAATAGTATTATAAATATAAAGCGATGGTTTAAATCGTTTTATATTTTTATATTTAATTTAATGGATGCGTAACTTACCTCCCTACATTTTCATTTAAAGTATGTAGCCTATTTTGGTCCAATTTAAGTATAGCTAATTTACACAAATCGCCAATGCCGTTAGGTACTGTTTCTAACATATTTTGAGATAGATGGAGATCAGTCAAGGAGCAGAGACCGCCTATTTCTTCGGGAATTTTTTCTAACTTGTTTTCACTAACGTCCAAGCAGATTAACGCCTTTAGATTGCCGATTTCTGAAGGTAAATATTGTAGCTTGTTGTGATCCAGCCACAATTCCTGTAGGGCTGGCAGTTCACCAATAAACCCGGGCTAAAAAATAAATTTATAATGAAAATTTTGGCTAATTAATTGCAAAGGTATCAGAGAGTTCGTTTTATTTCCTAATCAGGTTTGAGGTCGAAAGTGTCATTATTTAAGAGTTAATAGATTAATAATATGAAAAACAGTTGTTAAATATAAACAAAACAAAATTATATTTAATAATAATCAAAAGCTATCGTTTTTTTTTTCATGGAAACAATTACGTTGAAATCATTGTCTTAAATCATATATTTTATATTCTTTATTTACTTACCTACGTATAATATAATAATAAATTGAAAAATTATTTCATACGTATATAAAAAATATATATTACCAATTCCTCGATTTCGTTGTCGCCCAAATCTAATCTCTCTAATTTAATTAAATTTTTCAGTGACTCTGGTAAAGATTTAAGCAGGTTTTCTCTCAACTCCAATGACTGGAGAGACACCAAACTGTAATAAATAAATTTTATTGTTAGTTTAATTAACACTAAGAATCTTAATGTGATATTAAGTACCATGCTGTACTTCAATATAAATAAATAAATAAATGTGTTGGGACATACAGTCTTTACATCATCAAACTAAAATAAAAGATGATACGTTGCTGGGTAAAGAGCAGCCCAACAAACAAATATACACTTCTTTTATATTATAAAACGGAGCATGTTAATCCACTGTACATACTCTTCCTCTAATAATAAGGCATTAGATTATGTATTTATGATGAGACGAGGATCAGGTCCGCTGGTAAAGTATCAAACTATTACGTTCAAATTTTAGATAAGATTTATGATGGATATGGGATGGATGGATGGAGATGCAGGGAAATGAGATATAAATAATGTAAAAGTATACATTTATACATCAGTTGGCAGATTAAAACAAATTACTTAAAAGTAGGTTACATTAAGACCTGAATAGCTCTTTGAAAAATGTAAGTTTATATTGTGAAGTGTGAAATAGATAACCCACGCATAAATATGAATGGCAGCATTCATTATCGTGAGATTATTTTTGTTAAAACAAAGTCTAACTCGAAATGAGTTAGAATAAAAATGAATACCTTAAAAGTTAAAACAGTACAGATGATTCTCGCAGTTAGTAACTATGACGAATATTTAGTAAGAATAAAAATACAATGGATGACTAACATAGGATCAATTTTCATTGTAATGCACCCATACAAGGTTAACTGGGTAGGTGCATAATTTGAAACTTATTGTTTAAAAGGATAAACTTAAGTAGGTAACAACTGTTTTGAAATATAATATAGCGACTTGAATAGCTTTACGTCGTCTTTTAGGATGTATGTTCCTACTGGAAAAAGTGATTTAATAATTCGTTTTCCACATTCCACTGTCATTAGAACAAAAAGCTATATCATAAAAAAAAATACCATCATAATAGTATACAAAATAATTCGTATAATTATATAAGAAAATACCCTAAACGCATGCAATCTTCCGAAAAAATACATTTAAAATTCAGACATGGTGTTATTATATGGCTTGTATTTTGAATAACTAGAACTAACCAGTAATGTAAATATACGATATTGTTTACCTATAATACGCTACGTTGCGCCGTGTTTAATGTTCGAAACCTTGACGCATTCCTAAGCAGATGTCAAAGTACTTAACAAACCGTGCTCGCTAACACGCTAAACGATGAATCACATTCTTTGATTGACCAATGAAAAATTTGAACCATTGTTGAATGTCTTTTTACATTGTTCGATGGCCCACTTCTAAATTTAACAAGGACGTTAAATTTTTCGTTTATATTACAAGATCCCACAACAATCATAAAATAGCTTCCTGGACATGAAAATTAGGTTTATCGCTTAATTTAAAAGGCTTTAACTCAAAAATAAGTCTCCATTTATCGCAGAATGTTGCTCTTCGGGCTTAACGGTTTATGCAATTCAGACTTTCAAGGAATCTTGGTAGTTCAGCTTAATATAGAAAATTACTGCAGTGCAAGCTGTGCTAATTATAGATATTACACAACAGCATAAACCCATGAGAATATCGATTTACCTACAGTTTTTGTGATCATTATTACAGTAGTAAAGAAATAGCAGGTTAGATAAAACGCCGTCTGCCCTGATAACAGACTTGGCACGCCTCAATATGGTTATCACATAATGCCACACTTAATGTTTCTTTAATTAATGAAACAAAAATATGTATAGCACTTTCTTAGCTTCAAAAATCTTCCTAAAAAATACTGAAATATAAAAATTTAAGTGTGTCTCGATAATAGCTATCGCGCTATATGTATTCAGAAAATATAGTTACAGAAAATTAGACTATATTTTTTAATCTGTTGTATGAAAATAAAATAGAGACTGAAAAGAATATTTTTATCAATATATGAGTATGTATGAGGCAATTTCATTGGAGGGTAGAGGGTTCGATTTATTTATGCACGCTCCTTTTTCCGGCGTAAGAAAACTGTTAAAATATTGTTTCATCGTCAATGGCATGTTTATGAATCAAAAAACAGCTTTAACACCTGTTTGAAAAATATTACGTAAATCTTCTGCGTACTTGTAACTAAAAAGGTTAAAGCGCGTATGAAGGGAGTGGATTACCTTGAACATTTTTGACTCTAGCTACATTTAACCATGATTTGATTAACTCAATAGTTTCGATATTTTCACAGAATTCAGTTGAGGATAGTTCTTACTTTCTCTTTGTTCGCTATACTTAAGTTATACTAGAAAAGGACGAGTGTATCGATGGCCTATTAAATTCCTGACAACGCTACTTCAATAAATGACATAAGCCATTTTTCATCGAAAGCTTAAGTCGTCTCCTGCCTTTTATGTCTAGGTATGATGATATTTTAAATTTTATAACTAAAACGACCATGGAAAATATTGCATGATAATTGAAGGGTGACGGTCATCAGAAAACTTAACGTGATGTATCATGTTACACGCCTGTGTATTCGTACTCGCAATCACAATATTATCAATAATTTTATGATATGATTAAACATTACTACGTTATTTTAAAACCAGGTTAAAGATTTAAACATATATACAACATTTTTTTTCATTTGAAGAAGAATTAAAAACTCAAGAAATGTTCAACGATATTTTGGCAACAAAACTAAGGTCATTGCTCTGTATACTTATATAATATTGGTCTAAGAAAGGTACGGCTTGGACAGTAACTTTCCACTAACTTTCGCTTCAGTTATGAGCAAGAACTTAGTACTTATCTAGATCTTATATAAACTAACACGTACGTAGGAGTAAAAGCTCTAAGTATATATTTTTCTCAAAGTGCGGTCGTGTCTTAAATAAACTGATTAATTCAGTTGTTAATAAATAAGAGGTATGATTTATTTGAGAAAAGTGTATTGGTATTATGAAACTTTCAAAGATAACTTTGTGTTATGTAAGAATGTATAAAACCATAGATACCATAATTTATATTTAAAGTATGTACCATGTACCTACATACATACGTACACTTTCAAAACGCCAGTGCAAAAGTCTCACAATAATAGATAGAAACGATAAAAGAGGCAGGTCACGACTTACTGACTTAAAAAATTGCAACCTTATTCTCATCATCTCATGGGTCATTGTTATTGCTCAATGTTTATAAATTTTATACATAGTATTACAATTATTTTAAAAGAGAAAGGAGATTCTTTGTTGCTTTGAACTCTACATTAGGTTATACTGCGATGATTAAATATCTCTTTTGAATTGTATATAAATTATATAGACTATTTCCTTTAGAATATTATAAATCTCATTGTTAGTCATATGACCTATTTCACGTTTACTTCACCTACTATATAGTCTGCTAAATAGAATCTTAATATTGTATGAGTATGTGCAGCGAACTCACCTGCCGAAATCGCTGGGTAAACTGGTAAGTGACATATCATTGAGGCCGAGGACAGTAAGTGCTCGTAACTGACTGAAGCCGGCCGGCAGCCGCGGGATTGGGTTACTGCTAAAGTCCGCAATCTGAAGAGCGCGAAGCTTTTTGATATCCTCTGGTATGTCAGGAATGTCTGAAAATAATTAAGTATTATATATTTATAAATATAATTATATATTCACTTCTTGAAATCATAAGATAATTATTTAAATATCCTACTCTTTACATAGTAATTTCAATCGTCTTGCAAAAAAGGAAATCGGCACCAGTCCATGCAAATCAAAGCAAAGCTTACATCACAAATTGATGTATATGTACTATTTTAAGTCCATATCTTGTCATATTTACTTATTAGATGTTCATTCATATCTTAAAACATTGTCGGCTGGCACCGACTTCGACAATATCTGATTAGATATCTATCATATTATAGTAACTGAAATTATTCAGTTATTTTTTTACTTTTTAGTGTTTTGAAGTTGGTTTTTATTTATTTTTTTAAAGCTTTTATATATGAATACAATGCAAATTTCAATTTTTATTGTTAAAAACGAAATTGCTAAAAATTTTGTATATAGTGATACAGTGGTTAATAACAAAAATTTTATATGAAAAAGAACCTTTTACCCAACCAAATTTAATTAAATTTTAGTTTTATTGGTTTTCGATACAACTGAATATAATAAATAATAGTATATAAACATTTTAGTATTCACCAAAACATAAAATTAATATATAGGGCGATGGTGGGAAAGGTTGTTGTACCACTATGATATTAAATATTCAAATAAACAGCTATTTGTATAAAGCATATAGCCCAACCCTGACCTAGACATGCAGTTTGGGGTTCCTGAGAATCATCCGCACTCGATATTTAAATTATTTATACATTTCTACAGTAATATTCAAGTAATTAAAGCTATAAATGTTTCTGATCGTAATTAGTTTTCAAGCCTTTTTCATTTTCCTGTTTACTGACTGATTCCTACATGTGTATTACTTACCTCAATAATTTAATGTTAAAACTTAAATATAGTAAATCTAGTTATATAGGTATCTACTTATAAATAAGCATTAGTTTATTTATTTATGTTCTTACAAATTTGAAATTCACCATGTGCGAGGCCGAATCCAATCTATAACGCACCAGTCTCAATAAGTATAACATGGTTAGGTATGATATGATTGTTAAATTTTTAAATACATACTAGCTAGTAGCTAATATCCTTGCTTCGCTCGGATGCGTCCCTAAAACTCTAGGTCTAGCTGTGTACTGAATCTAATGAATGACGAAAGTTTGAATAAATATACCGATATAACACGTATAATATTACCGATTTTGTAACTGCTAGACATTGAGAAACCTAACCTAATGGTCTACTCTTCAGTTTTGAATACGACATTGAACAAACTTGATTGATTTTATTGCAAAAAGCAAGCCAAAGCGTATCGATTACGTATGTATGTACATTATATATATACCTATGGCAATTTTGGTAGTTTTTGTTTTTTAGATATATTTTTTTGGTTCAAATTAGTATATACCTACTAACTAATAAAAGATGCTTACTTATTTATTGATTTACATACTTATTGTTTTGGCAATGCCATGCGTACCTATAAATCAATTTATTTTATATTTCAAGTGGGTATTAAGTGTCAAAAATTAAAAAGAACTCCACAAAATTGTAACAAATATCCACCTGCTACAATTTTTTATCACAGACAAGAATTATAATAATCATCGGTTATAATGAGCATCTAGACTACACTACTAGATATTAAATAAGTTATTCTCGACATTAAATATAACAATTATTCAATGTTTCAAAGTGTTAATTTAAATATTTAAAGCTGTGTGAACAAGGTCAGACGTAACGCATTGAAGACAACAAATTAAATTAAATTTTCTTATTATCTGCCCTCGAAATATTTATAAAAATATATAATTTAGCAAATGCTTTATGGTTTACGAGTGTCTGCAATATAAACACAATTTTAAACAACAAATACCTAATTTTAAACTACAAACATTTGTTTAATTGTTTAAAAATTAAAAAGAAGGACTTCCAAACCAAATCGATCATCCCCTACGTTAATTTCACAATATTTTTCTTAAATATGTTACGCTGTACGCGTAGGTAACGGCCGAAATAACTGCCATAGATATAGATCGACTCTATTAAAACTCAAAACATATGACATTCATTATTAGTTTCAATTGAAAACGCGTGAAAGATAAATATAAAACTGTTTATATGAAGCTCGTATAATATTACGCAGACCATGTATTTAAAATATGTACATCAAAGTATGCTAGGAACAACGAAAATTAAATATAAACAACCGATAACTGATTAACATATCGTTGGCTCAAAGTTACAAGGTTATAATATGTTACAATTTTAGTACTTATGTAGTTATGAATGCTACAAGGTTCTATGTGTCATTAGCTACAGTTTTGCAAAAACAAACCACTAGATAGCAGCACTATACCTACAAAATATTCAATGTTACATAGTTCTACGTTGTTTTTTTTTAAATCACAAAATAACGAAGTTCTATGTAAAACATAGAACCATTCAATTTTGGTTTTTATATTTTTTTAGGATAGCAAGGTTCTATGTTAAACAGAGGACCTTGCTTAGAGTTTTTTTGCTTAGAATTTTATTTACAACTAGCGGCTCACGCTTGCTTTGCTCGGGTTCACCTCTAGAAAAGCACAAACAGATATATCCCACGGGAACCGTACATTTTTCCGGGATGAAAAGTATTTAAGAAGTTGCCGGGGGATATAAGGTACCACCATGCAAAATTTCATTTAAATCGGTCCAATAGATTCGAAGGTTAGCCCGTACAAACAGACAGACAGAGAAACGAAAAAATTGAAAAAAATCTGGATTTGTTCTATTTGTCTTCTTACATCACCGTGACTCGGTTTTTAGGATTTTTGTTCTATGTACAGACATTCGACCTCTACAGTTTTATTATAGTATAGATTTAAAGTGAGCTTTAGATGTTCACACATAGCAGAATCTATGTATCGATGGATACCTACAGTGGACAAGGAGTTCTATGAGACAATATTCAAAGTGTAAACCATTTTTATGATAATAAATTTCACATATGTACAAGTAATGTTTTTTAATGGTACTGAGACATGATAACATATTATAATAGTTCAGATGACTCAAGAAAATTAATACTTAACTTGGACATAAACTAATATCTTTTACTTATTTCAATGAAACAAAGTCCTAAGTTCTGGTTAAAATAAATAAAAATATTTTTCCGCTATCACAACTTTCTATGTTATTTTAATTTCGATAATATTGCTTAATATCAAAGTCAATATCCAATTTTTAGTTCCTAGAAAGTATCATGTAGTCCTTAATTATGCTAATAAACTGTCACTTAGGGATTAGGACCAATAAGTATACATTTTTCGAAAGTCAAAAACTTTAAAGTCAAATTACTAAACTTCATTAAAATTAACATAGAACCTTGTAATAGTGAGCAAACGATATGTAGGTACGTAGAGTAATTAGATTCAGTACGTTATAAAGAAATCTTAGAAGGAGGAGAAGTCATTTTGTTACATGTTTGACAATAATATTAAACCCTCTACGACCGCGCGAACACGCCGACGTGTCAGTTAACAATAGATTTCTTAGAATTTTAATTAATTTCTTAGAAATTTACCTGGAGGTGTTAACGAAATAAAAATGTTACTTATGGCAAAGATCTTAGCTAGCATTACAAATGCAATAGATTATGAGGTTATAGAGATGACCTCGATCTAATAAACTAACGTTACATAACAGCTTTATTCTGTTAGTACGATAATAATTGTTTACTGTACAGGTCTCAGGTACGTTTATTCTGTGTTATTTTAATTAATTTTAAAAACGTTTTTAACTATATTGATAGAAAGAATATATAATATAACATTGATTGACCAGAATGTTTTATATGTTCTATGGACTTTAACCAACATTATAGCGTGTGATATATTAATTAATTATTTGCAATTGGCAACACTTATATAGCGAAGGTGTCCTTTTTAATATACATCTTATATTCATATATCTACTTAGAATGTAGAAATAGATATATATTAAACGTAAAAATAAATATGCTAAAATTAGTTGTATGCATAGGCAGGTAGAATTTCATATCCGCAAGATTATCGTATAACGGTTTTCCGTCCAATTATACATGGCTGGTGTGAACAATTTATACCAGCCGCCTCATATGCTTGCATGCCTTCTGCAGACCTATTTTAGAGCTTGAGGAACGTCGGTACTTATCAAGTTTGCGAATGTTGATTACTTTTACTTTACTCATGTGTTTCTTTAGTAATTTACGATTCAAGGAAGCATTTCAAACAAAATCGAACGCTGTTCTTTAGAATAAATCGTAACGCTAACATTATTTTAACCGCAAATGTGACCGTCAGAATTACAGATAATATATTTTTATAAATTCTTTCACAGAAAAAAATAAATAGACAAAATGTATTGCTTTCTTTTCAGATATTCATATTAGATCTACTGCATTTATTAAAAATTCCCATTTAAACTAAACACTAAAAGTGTAATACTGCATAAATGCATTCTTGGACTTTAATTTTCAATGTTACGATAGATAGCTTATTATAAACATAATTACTAGTACACCCGTTTCACTACACGGTAGTTTAAAATACATTACGAACTGGTTTACTAATTTCATGTTAATAACGGTAGTGCATTCGTTTCCGGTTTGCGGACGAACATTCCAACAGGCGTGGCGTCATCAATTTCATTTGTCAAGCTAGGGCCGACATAATCTATGGGTGCATTGCAAACAATAAACATTTACCTCGAATAAGCCCCGATTAAATTGAAGGCACAACAACTGGGTCAGCTGACCGAAAGAAATAACGTCACTTGCTGACGAGTTCATACAGAAATGGTGTCAATTTATAAATGGGATACATGATTTTGAGTTAAAAAATACATATATTTAAAAACATCCATATTCCATATGTACGTAAAAAATTTTTTAAGCTTAAACATTGTCGATCAAAAAATACTAAGAATATAAATAACCTGTAGAGTTGTTTTACTTACGTTCTAACGGTAAAGCTAT